AGGAAAGCGGTCAAACAGTAGGTATGTATAGTACAAAGTACTTGCTTATATTAAAGGCTCCTTGGTGCAGCTGGTTTAGCATTGGGTTCCATATGCTTCAGATCCTAAGGTTGAGTGTTCAATTCCCCAATGCTGCATTTTTTTTATGTTATATATTAATAATAATAACAACAGTCTGTTGGAATTCCGTTGGACTTCTGTTGGATTTGTCCACTGGAATTCCATTGGCACTTGCTCGTCATTTCCAGTGGACTGGGTGCTAGTTTGCTGTTAGTCCATCGGAAGTCCGTCGGAAAAGTCTGATGGACTTTTCAGTCCAACCAAAAATGCTCGGAAAAGCTTCGGACATTCACCGGAAAATTTGCTGCATTTCAAAGCAGAAAAATATCTGTTCTGCATACCCTCAGTCTGACGGAGTCCGGCCGGAGTCCGCTCGGAAAAGCAGTGGCAGCGTAAAGACCTCTACTTTTTTGAAGTAAATTTTCCTCAAGTTGCTAAGTATATCATAATGTTGACTATCATACAATTTCTGCTGAGTGAGAGGTGGTTTCAGTGTTGACTGTGAGGGTATGAGTGATCTGGGTGCCTGGAATCTCCTCTGGGATCAGGGTGTCACCAAAGGCAACTATGTCATACGGCAAGTAGGTGCCAGGGGAAAGGTTAGGTGTTGCCAGAGCATAGTGGTCAAATATTCCCTTGAAACCACTATCAATGTGGCTAAAGACAAGTTGGCCTTTTGGCAAGAAGCCAGTTGTGGGAATAATCATGATCCAGTGGTTGGTCTGAATTGCTGCTTGCATGAAAGTTGGATTAAGGTGAATGGAAGGCAGAGACCACTCTATATCGAAGAACTTGCAATGCATGGCAGCCTGATTGATATCCTGGTTGTAGGGTGGGATTGTGGTGCCATAGGGGCCAATGGGAAAACTGCTCTGTTGGTGTTGGTATACATGCTCTGCTCCTCTGCTAATGCATAACCCATGGTGGTTGACCTGCAGTTCAACCCTTTCTGCAGATGAGTATATAAAAAGAGGCTGGGCATCAATGAGGATGGTGTCTCGGTTCTTGGGGATGGCATCCTGAGGCTGGCCCAAATCGTAGTGTATTTCTCCAAAAGGCTCATAATGTGGCTTCAGTTCATTCTGTTTGATGAACTGCTGAGCCATGGCAAGTAAGGGGGCATTGGCAGGATCATTGAAAGAGGGTGATAATAAAGTAGCCCAGAGGACTTGACCCTTACAGATGCTTTCAACATGACGCTTGTAGCAAGACTGTGCATATTTGAGCATGGCTTCCAACTCTGCAGGGTTGGTAATGCCAGTAAGATCAATAAGGGTGAATGCCTCAGGAGGTGGGTATTTAAGGCTGGGCATGTTTGCTGTGCATTGCGCAAAACTTAGAAATGTATAGAAGGTGCATGGATGCTGTTGAACTTACAGAAGGTGCTTTGGACAAGCTGTCTTTGTAAGAAAAGGTGGGTCCTAGGTCACACCTGATTTTTTGTTGTGTCAGTGGGATGAAGAGGGGAGTTGATGATGTCTCACTGTTCACAGAAACAGTTGATCTATTGGTGATGGGGGGACAGGTGAGGAAGGGCTGTATTTTATGTTTTCAAAAGTGAGACTTTATAATTTGATAGGGGGATGCCAGACACCAATCTTGAATGATGTCATCATAGGAGGCTCTGGCACACTAGACACTTATACCTGGCTCTCCCTTACTTATCCCAGGTCCAAGAGCTTGTCACTTCACTCTGATTATTCTTCTGTATAGTGATTGTCACGGGTTTCAGAACCCGTGCGGGTTGCGGGTAAGGGTACGTGTGGGTAGGGGTACGGGTTTGATATTGGCTACCCTCGCCAAACCCGTACCCGTGGCAGGGGTTGGCGGGTACCCGTAGCAATACCCGTCATGTCATTAGTTATTGTTTGTGTAGCTCATGGTCTGGCAAAAGATCAACAAAATTCTAATTTATTGTTGCCAAATTAATTAATGAAATATTCTATGGACAAGTATGTACGAGGGGGGGGGGATAACCAATACAAGGGGGCGCAGCTACGGCATAACTTTGGGAGGAGCGAAAGGAAAGGAAAGCAAAGGAGACAAGAAAGATGCTGTGCTATATATACAAGGGACTTTAGGGCGGGTTGAGATTTAGGGCAAGCTCTCATCAAGGAGAACTTCGCAGCTTCAACAATCAGACACTTTCCTATCCACTGCGACTGCCCACCTCAATTGCGTCACCACCGACACCAACAACCACCACCACCGCTACTATTGTTCCACCGCCTGCAACCACTGCACACTCCCCAACAACAAAGACAACCACAACGCGACGCCCAGATATGACAAACAAAGATGAACCACCACCAGGCAAGACCAACCACCAGCCACCACGGCTCACGAACGACGGCCACAAACAAAAACAGACGACGACGCACTGAGGTGAGCAAACTCACCTCCTCCGCATCACTGATCTCTTCAACACAGAATATGGGTGCCATGTCGTCGTCGTTTATTTGAGGTGACTACGGTGTGTACCCCCATCCCATGTTCGTTACAACCCACCACGCTGAGACACAGGACAATGACGTAACAATGATGTCAGACTACTCATCCATGGGCAGGGTATATCCACTCGACGGCAAACTACGACAGCAAACAATGATGGCAAACGATAACAGACGACAACGACAATCATCGACGTCATCCCTCCACAGCAAGACACGACACAATGACCACGATGCGACTCCCACCACGTTGCGACAATGACATGCGACACGACGATGACCACATGGCACCACAACCACCAGGCTACCATGGAACACCACAACCACAACGTAACACCATGACAACGATAACCACGACACAGCAGCAAAACGGAACACCAACACGATGGACGGTGACGAAGACGACGACGGACGTGGCAGACGACCACACGGCACCACGACCAGGCCACTATTCATAACCACAATCACGACATAACACCATGACAACGATAATCACGACACAGCAGCACAACACAACACCAACACGATGGATGGTGACGACGACGATGATGGGCAGAAGGGGGGAGCGGCGACGATGATACACGACATGCCCAAATACCCACCAAGCACGTCGTGTTCACGTTCGAGAAATGCAAGCTGCTGGTGAGGATGGATAAAGGGAGCGTAGCGAGGAAGGCGACTTTATAGCTATGGATGGGCAGAAGGGGGGAACGGCAACAACGACGAGCCATGACGATAGACGAGGACTAACGTGTTCGTCGCATCGCAAACCCATGCTGGCTTTACCCAAGCTTTACCTACCAACAACGCACCCACATCATAGAATTTGTATGGTACATTAACAAGTAACACATAATAGAAATACCTGTAGTGTTAAACCCCTAAGACCCGCCAAACCCGCCAAACCCGTGTAAACCCATACCCATACCCGCAGAAACCCCTACCCATGGTTGAGGGTACGGGTTTTCATGGGTAGGGGTACGGGTATGGCCGAAAGTACCCCGGGGTTACCCGTGACAATGCCTACTTCTGTATATAAAATCATACAATGTTTAGTTGTCTTAAACTAGTAGACAATGGAGAGGTAACAGGCAAAGATCTGAATCAAGTTACAATCTAAACACACATCAACCAATGCTATATCATCATTCTAATCTAACCTTCATGCAGAGTGAGAGCTGGTTCTGGTGTTTGCTGTGACAAGGAACTGGTGCTGGTGAAGGTGATGTGGGTGCCTGGAATATCCTCTGGGATCAGGGTGTCACCAATGGCAATAATGTCATATGGCAAGTAGGTGCCAGGGGAAAGGTGAGGTGTCGCCAGAGCATAGTGGTTGAACACTTCTTTGAAACCACTATTGGGGTGGCTAAAGAAGAGTTGGCTTTTCAGTGAGAAGCCAGTGGTGGGGATGAACATGACCCAGTGGCTGGTCTGAATTTCTGCTTGCATGAGAGCCTGATCAGCAGGAATGGAAGGGAGAGACATGGCAGCCTGACTAATGTCCTGATTGTAGGGTGGGATTGTGGTGCCATAGGGGCCAACAGGAAAGCTGACTTGCTGGTGTTGGTATATGCACTCTGCTCCTCCACTAATGTGTAACCCATGGTGGATGACCTGTTGTTCAACCTTGTCTGCACATGAGTATGTGAAAAGGGGCCGGGCATCAATGAGGATGGTGTCTCGGATCTCATGGATAACATCCTGAGGTTGGCCTGGCTCATAGCACTTTTCTCCAAAAGGCTGATAATGTGGCATCAGCTCCCTCTTATTGATGATGCGCTCAGCCATGGTGAGTGTGGGGGCATCAGCAGGCTCATTGAGAAATGGTGGTAGTAACAAAGTAGCCCAGGCAACTTGAGTCTGATGGGTGCGTTCAATGTGAAGTTTGTACCTGGACAGGGCATATTTAATCATGGCTTCCAACTCTGCAGGGTTGGTGATTCCAGTACAGTCACTAGGGGTGAAGGCCTGGGGAAGCAGATAGTTGATGTTGGGCATGTTTCCTGTGAATTGCTCAAAACTTAGGAATAGGAGGCACATGGGTTCAGTTAAACTCACAGAAGGGGGTTTTGTATGAAAATATAGGTCCTAGGTTGCACCTGACCTTTTATCACATCAGTGGGATGAAAAGGGTACTTGATGAGATCTCACAGAAATATTTGATCTGTTGGTGATGGGGAGGATAAAGAAGGGCTGTATTTTATGTACTCAGAAAGAGAGACTTTATCCAATTTTGAATGATGTCATCATAGGAGCGAGTGACCATTCAATATTCAGGCACTGTTGGCAATGGAGCAAGTATGACTCATCTAGCACTACCCTTTCAAATTTCCAATGACAATTCTAATTTCTTTCTTCTTTGACTGCTTGCCTCCTGTCATGAATCCTGTAACGTGCGACACCTCTCAATCTCCTCCCCCATCTCCCAAAGCATCAACTCATATGCATCCCTCCACCACCCAATTTCCTCAACATATAACCCCCCATTCCCCTGCTCCGCCTTCTTCAACGCCTCTTCCTCCGCCTCCCTCGTCAATATCCCACCATCTACAGCCACAGGAAATGGCTTAGCAATCGTATAATGCACAATCTTCCCCTCCCCCTTCAAACTTTCCCATAACGTCCTACTCCGCTTCTTGATCGCGAGGTTGAGGTTGTAGATGTATGGCAGCCTCACGGTCCGCGCTGCGTAGTAGAGGTTGAGAAAGGATTGTTCAGCTTGTTCGAGGGGATACGTGGCGCTCTCAATCTTTGCCTTCATATCCTCAAATACGCTCGTCGACGTCTCGAGGACCAACACACCCGCGTTGAACGTCAACGCGAACCCTCGCGAGTCCCCGGGGACGTAAACGTCCGGAACCGCAGCAAAGTTCCACGGAAGCTCGAACAACTCGTCGAAGTTCCTCCGGACAAGGGTGTCTGCGTCCAAATACACGAGTTTCTCCACTCCCAGGGAGTCAAAGGACCATACGGTAAGTTTCGTGTACTGGTCCTGAAAGCGGTGGTGGATTCCTTTGCCATTATGCGGCGGGGGGATGAGGGCGATAGGGTGCGGGTTCCAGCCGGCCGCACGGACTATGCATAGGGCGGGAGCGGAGACCCGCGTGGGGAGGTATGGGAGGATGAGGCGGGCGGAGGTGTTGGCTTTACGGAGGGAGTGCCCGAGGACGGCGACGCCGATGGCGAAGCTGTCCGAGTAGAGTGTCGATACGACGGCGTGGGAGCCGTTTTGGGGAGGGGGAGGTGGAGTGTAGGAATGACGTAGGACTGGGCTGGTGTTTCTGGGTTGAGAAATGGTGAGTGTGAGTGTATTTGGTGCATATACTATGCGAGAACTTGCATGTTTTGGAAGTCGTCTAGCGGGTTAAAAGACCGAACGGTGGCGAAGTACCATACTGCGCATGAACTGACAAGTATGCTGAGGCCCAATGGGAGGAGAAAGCGTCGATATGACAGCTTTGGGGGCGCGGCGTTGGTCGGTAGTGGTTCGTATGGGGAGGATAGGATGGGGCAGAGGTGAGACATGGTTGGAATCAATCAGCTGCGGACCTTCGTTTTCGACTTGCATTCGTGATTCGCTGCTGAAATCCTATTAGTCGGCTTTCTCTTTGGTAACGCATAGCCCATCAAGGGATGCTCGGCGCACTTAGTCCGTCAACGTTTGCCTACGTTCAAGGTCGTCCAAGACTCCAAGACTTTTGCCCAAGCCTCAAATACGATGTACGTGCTGGAAGAGAACAATTTTCTGCTTGTATCGTAGTACAGTATCGCTTCAGACCTCGGAAGAGTGTGCTGCGGAAAGCCGAGGAACAACTTCAAGTTATTTTGGGACGGGTCTAGTACATGTATTTTTGGGAGTGAGCCAAAACACGTGCAAGGTCGACTGGCGCTTATTTATAGGTCGATTTTGCAGCGTCAAATTTCAATTCTTGACGAGGACGTATACACTGTGTCATACTGTGGTTAATTGACAGGCATTGAAATTTAAAATCTTTCATCAATATTCGGGGTTTGATAAAAGTGCTGCGGTCAACGGCCCCCAGTATTCTGGACCTCTGGCATCAAACTTTCAGGGATGGAGAAATCTTGGACAAGAGTCCGCAGCAGGAGGCCTGGGTGACTGGCTTCGCAATCGTAGTTTTTAGGCGAGTGATTTGAGCGTGGAGACTGCAGTCAAGCGATTTACTGACATTCTGTAAATTCAGCAGGCAATGCATAGAAGACGTCGATCAGAAAATTCGCAGCTCATTCGAGGCAACGTAGTGATGCAGAAGGTTGACGATGCCCAGCGGAAAACTGCGAAAAGTAGGCTCAAAAGCGCTTGCAATTCTCGATGGCCTAGATATAACGAAACGACTTTCATTAAGCGTGATTGAAAAACAAAAAAACACTGATCAGACATGGCGTGGACTCGGGAGTTAGAGTTCGATAAGAAGAATATCCTTTGACATGAAGGGAAACCAATTTTTGTGCGCAAAATTGAGTCGCCAAAGACGGAGCATTCCAATGTGCGGCTCGATGGAAATCGGACGGGAAGTCACGGCGAGTGAAGGATATTTTTATCCGTCAAAGTCCATACGATGGGCGTATAATTCGTGCCCTCGCCTCCTCGCATAATCCTGCCACCTAGAGTCCATTTTGTCTGACGGGATAAGTCGGCAATATGGATTTGAACACGACTGTGGCAAGTGATCACGACACAAAATGACCCCCGTAAAACCCTGGAGGATAATTGAAGGTACCTACTTAAACGAATGTGATTAGTTGGAACTTGGGGCTGTTAAGCCCACCCCAGTGAGGGTCATTCGAATCTGAAGGTGGTGAGTTGCATTTGGCAAGTTTTCTCGGGCAAATATCAATCAACAATAAGGCTTTCCGCGTGGGAAGCTTTCCTCCTCACCATGATCGATCACATTGTTATTCACGCGTAAGTACGCTCTGTTCCCAGCTGTTCCCGTCTTATCGACCCAGCAATTTTCTTCAATTTGACCTGCAGCATACGTCTGTGGTACACGTCCACTTCCATCCTCGCCATTAGCATTTGGCTTCAGGCAGTTACACCTTTGGGCGGCCTGCGTTGTCCACATCTAGACAATAGGTTGAGTGGGTCGGAGATGCCCTGACCCCCCGCAATCGACTTCTATGTACTCCCATGGAGCGCGGTAGAGGCCGCACACAACAGATTGCCCTTGGTCGTGACGTTTGTCGTCAGGATACTGGCTGGTGGATTGTCATACATACGACTTGCGCTTGTGATGTAGATCTGAGGTGAGCGTTTTTCGGGACTGATTGTATACTCCGTTTGTTAATTGTATTTTGCGGTCAAAAGTCCCGATGCGTAACTGGTAGAAATGCGCCTTTGTTGCGTCTATGCATTGGTAGGTTCTACTCGACGCTCCAAGGCCGCTTTCGACTCAAGACCTTATAAACAGCACCTCACCATTCCTGTTGTCGCCCGTCGCCTTGTGCCGACCGTCGTGGCAACGACCACAAAAACCTCTGACAAGGCGCCTGTTCCTGAACGATTAGGTTCTGATCTTCAATTTTTGGATCTATTTGAGGCTTACTTATTTTTAGTTCGAACAAGCCATCGCGAAGGCCCAAAATACTCAACCATGATCGTTTCTTCTTTCATTGTTTACTTTGTATAAAGGGATCGCAAACTGCGCATTCTTCCCCTCACCTCTCTTTCTTCTCTCCGTCTCTCTCTCTTCTCGTTGCTGGCATCATTCCGTCTTTTCTTGACCTGGCGTCTACGTTCTGAGTCGACCTCATTTTTATTCAACCAACCCTAGACTTTACCTACACCTTTCCTTGCTCTCCTCACCTTCATTCAAACTCTAGAAGGACAACATGGCCCCACTATCATTACTCCTCGTAGCCTTTCTCATGGCTGCCACTGCTTACCCCGTAAACGCCGGTATGCTCTCTTCTCCTCTTTCTTCGTGCCTTACTGATGAACTTACTTTGCATGATCAGTTCCGCTTGAGGGGCGTCAGGCAGGATCATACGACACCCCCAGTGACAAGTCACCTTTCGTCGCCAATTCGACAACCCCAACAGCCACCGTCGTGACGCCCGTTCCGTAAGTGCTTGTTTTCTTCGCACGACAATACAAAGGAATTTACGGCTTTCTTGTCCTCTTGATAGTATCGCCTCTCTCGCCGCCAACGATGACACCCCATCCCAGGTCATCGACCTGAACAAAAGCGCCAACTCGACCTCAGCAGACGGCAAGAAGAAAAAACACAAGCACCATATGCATAAGGGCGCGAAAGGGAAGAACGCCACCGCTTCTGCTGCCGCCGCTGGATCCCTGAACAAAAGCGCCAACTCAACCTCAGCAGACGGCAAGAAGAAACACAAGCACCTTATGAATAAGGGTGCGAAAGGCGTTTTCGGGAAGAACGCCACCGCTTCTGCTGTTGCTGCCGGATCGGCGAACGGGACTGATGTTTACGCGCGTGATGTTCAGGAGGACGCTGCTAAGAAAGCAAAGGGCGGCAAGAAGGGGAAGGGGAAGAAAGGCAAGAAGGGGAAGAAAGCCCAGAAAGGCGGCAAAGCTGCCGCTCGCGAGGAGGAAGACCTTGAGGAGTCCGATTCCTCCGAGCTTGTTGAGCGGTTCGTCAATGTGATCGAGGCACGCGATCTTGTGGCAGAGCTTGTAGCGCGCTACAACGACGAGTTGGAGGCGCGCGAGCCTGAGGCTGAGGAGCGCGATGTGGAGGGCGAGGAACTTGTCGCTGCGAAGAAGGGTAACAAGAAGGGGAAGAAGGGAAAGAAGGGCAAGGGAAAGAAAGGGAAGAAGGGCGGCAAGGCAGCTGCTCGCGCTGCTGACGCCAGTGATCTCGACCCCAACGCTGAGTCGCCCGTCGCCGCTCGTCAAGACGCGGACGGGGGAAACGACCTTGCCGCTGCTAAGAAGAAGGGTGCTAAGAAGGGGAAGAATTCGAAGAAGGGCAAGAAGGGAGAGAAGAATGGGGGTAAGAAAAGTGGCGCTGGTGCCGCCGTGTAAAATTCTGTATTCCCTGAGATTCTCATAAGAAACATGACTTTACCGGGGAATTTATCTTATGGGGGTTCATATCGGATAATTTGATCGCTTTACGGTGCTTTTATCGGGGGGGAACGATATGAAAGAACGAGACTCTGCACAATTTGAACGGTATTGAGTACATTTGAGTCCAACAAAATGTTTAGTGGCTAGACTTCGAGTATGTGAGATCAACGGGCGACTCTCTCAATAGAGGAGAGTTTATCACCCACAAAAACTTGAATTTCAGATGCTTCAAGGTTTGAATATTTGGCATACCGACTCTATCGGAGACGCGACGCGTCAAGCTCACGCGTCTCGTCACGTGCGAATAATTCAAAATCTCGTGCTTGGCGTTGACTGTCTTGGCAACCGTCCTCTTCGATTTCTATCATTAATCCTTCTGCTCATTGGAATACCTTTCCTCCTGGAAAGCAATCCAGGCAACGGCGGCTTAACTGCTTTGCACACGATGTGTAGAACTCTGGCACAAACTCGCCTTTGTTGTCTCAAAGACGGTGGAGGTTCGTCTTTTCACTAATATCTCACCACCCTTGGCATGACGTTTGGACGTCACGTGAAACCTCTAAGGTCCATTCTTTGTCAATTGAGAATTGGCCTCCGAGGTCATAAGCACTCCTGGCACTCCCTGCTAAATCCTAAATGAGAAGGGCATCGGGTGGCAGATCTTAGTGCTAATACCAGTGGAAGTGTCTGCCAGTGGAAGTGCCTGTCAGTGGAAGTGCCTAGCACTTGCACTTATGATAGCTTATGCCAGTGATCACTCGCACTATTTCCGCGCGCCTGAATGTTACGATATGTTTTATCCCGTATTTTAGATGTTTCTTACTGTCCATATGTCAAATGTACCAATTCTATTCGATGTATGTAGGAGTGGCAAAATATCCCACTCGATCTGAAAAGGCCTCGACTCCGTATTCGTAGGGCTCAGTCGGGCAGGGTTCAAAAACGTCCTGGGGCTGCTCCTTTGATGACCGATAGCGTCAAACTGGAGGGAACAACGTGAATCCAAGTGAGGGACTAGAGGGATGTGTCGAGTGGCACCACGTGTGGATGTTGGTTGTTGTGGGCGTGGTGGTGGTGCGGCGGGAGGCTGGACCATAAGGGCAGCTGCCGTTTGGTTGAAATCAATATTGATCCCCATGCGCCGGGGTGGGAGCGCGTCATTGACACCGATTGCAAGAAGAGGATTGTTGTCCAAGCTGTCTGTGCACTGCAGCAACCCGAAGTGAGCACCTTTGTTAATCGTAGTGCACCGATCTTGCTTGCAGATGTTGGAGTTTCCAGGTTAGGCGAGACCAGGATGAGGGGGGTCTGCGATAAGATGTCCATCATGTGGCGGGAGAGGAAGGGGACGTGCGTGTTGTTGGCCTGGACCACCTACGCCTGATGGGATCGGAATGTCACCGAATGGGGTACAAAACCTGAAAATCGCGTTGGGATGGAATATAAAGGGGCGCATGGAGGTTGCTGTATCAATTGGGGCTTGAGCGAACAGAGAACCCGTGCCCGTGGTCCAGTGGAAGTAAATGGTGAGAAAATGCGTAAAAATGAATGGTGAATTCGTGCCTGTTGATGGGAACGATGACAGAGTAGAAACGAAACCCAGTAAGTACAGATGGAGAACGCGAGCCAGAGGTGTAAGCAAGGGGTGGGTAAGGCAGGAGGCGGGGGCGATGCGATTGAATTGTTTCCTTCCGTTTGTGTGTCGTGCTGACAGAGGGCGTAGAGCTGTGCGACTCAGTCCAATTCCCAGTGCTGGTTGCGCTGGCTTGCACGCCACCAGTTGCTAGCCTCTTCACGATACCCTTCGTTTCTCAACATGGACAGCGCGCGGCGTTGGCGCCAGAGCTGGGGTCGGGGAAGGGTGGGTACACTTGCTGCATCCTTGCGTAAGACGGGCTGGTGATGTGGGTGACGCAATCTCGGATGCTTGAGGCCGTTAACTTGTACATTTGTCGGGGCGAGGATTGTGATGAATGCTACGAAGAGATAAGTAAAAAGAAAAACAAATGAATATCGCAACAGTACCTTTGTAAGCTCACACAAACGTATCAGCGCCCCCGTAGGTTCTCAGCATTGTCATCCTCTGAAGAATGAGGCATGGGATGACGTTGTCAGATGCGTGGAAGGGCTAATGAGGCATCAGGCAGAATTTGAAGGCACTGGGTAGAACATTGCGGGGGTGGATGGCTCTGTATGATGTGAGACGAAGCTTGGGGTGGCTGATGCAGCATGGACTTGGTGACCCCTGGACCTTGCAATATTGCCAAGGGGCCCGGCGGCTAGGCAAAGCACAACCGTGCTATCGTGAGGTTGGCAAGGGGTGGAGTGGTACCTGCAGTATGTGAGCTTCGTTGAGCATGAAGAGGGACAACGTTGAACGTTGACTTGTTCAACATTGGGTCACATGTCCATAAAATCGCATGAGGGAGTGTCCGGGCCGGTCCGCTTGGGGGAATAAAAACATATAAATTGTGTAGCGCACTCAATTCCGGGTAGAATATTCCATCTTTCAACAAAAATGTACATTGACCTTTCCGAAACATTTTGAGATAGGTAGTTCTTTAAAATGGAGGAAAAAAATAAAAGTCTGACTGTACCCAAGGGGTGAAGACGATTTCGTTTATAAACTAAGGATACCATTGACAAGTTATCGTCCGACTACCCTGCAAAGTACCGATCTCAATTTATGCAACGAATAATTTGATTCTTCCGACTAATTTACTAAATCTTCAAGTGTTTAGGTGGAGAAACGAGTGCCGTAGATTGGTATCTACATCAAATCTACATTACAAAACATGGACTTTCAAAACCTGTCTCAATGTCTGTGCATCCATGCCTGGTGCAACGCTAACGTCAAGACCAAGGGGGCATGATTGAAATTTATGGCGGAGAGCGCGTCCAGTGGGATCGGCTACATTCCCAGACCCACACGACCCAACGCAAAAGAAGAGGAGACAAACGGACTCGGTATTGAACATGGTACCTTGTCACCCAGTCTTTGACTTTCGGTCTTGGCATCACCACTAAAAGATCATCAGCCGAGTCAACCAATACTGACAGTAAGGCATACGGTAATGGAGAGAACCACATGATACATCATGCCACCTACTCCACTCCGTAAGCGCACGAAAAGGCTTCCCCTGGTACATAGGGCGTCAAGATCCTATCCAACCAAGCACATAATGTCAGTCCGTTTACGTTGAACACCAAGAACAAACTCACGATGCTCCCCTCCCTACTGAACACCGACCCCACGTACCTCTCCAACTCCACCTTCTTCTGTGCAGCCTGAACGAGAGGCTCAACTGCCTCGCCAGCGGACCGTATAATCTCAACGACCTTCTGAAGGTCTGCCACAGACCTGGACAGTCATCTGAATCAGAATCTCGCACCGCCTTTGTCTCTCTCTCCAATCCATGTGTTTCCTGCTCCAACCGTCTAAACGCATTCCCCACCTTGATAAGCTGCTCAGTCGGCCAGCTCAAGAAACATACAAAGCCTCAAGAAGTCTCGTTCAGTCATACTGCATCATCTGGTGAGTTCAATGAAGAAAGGCGATTAGGGAACCAACCTCGATGAACGCCCTAAACCTGGGGGTCACATCCGACATTCATGCTCGATCTTCCAGTTCGCATATTTCGCATGGGTGTAAGTGGGGATGTACCCCATGCATGCTTCCCTAAACTCCCCGAAGAGTTAGAGATAAGGAGCGGAGATGGAGGAGATATTGAGGAGGGGCTGTTCCTTCTTCCGGGCTTCAGAGAGCCGAGAGAGGATGCTGGAGTGGTAGCCGAGAACTTGCTCATAATTCCCAAATGTGTTTTTGATGAATTGGTCGAGACGTGGTGGGGGAATGATTAGGGGGTTCGCGGTGCGCAGGGGTGTGATGTACATACAGCTGGTATGTAGTGGTAAGCACCTAGGAAAGAAACACGAAAAAAAACGCACGCCTTCAACGTTTCCAGGGCTTTGACCGAATTATTCACCCTCGCAGCCCTTTGAAACCTCTTCGACGGGCCTGCGCACAGTCTGAGTCTCACTGTCTCGTCCGCATTCGTTCTTCGTCCCCCCCTCCTTTTCGCCCCCCTCCCTCCGCTCTTCCTTCCGTCCCTAACTTGGCCTTTTCATCAGCTTCGATGATTGTCAGAGATTCCTCACGGAGCCCAAGGCGTTGGGATGGTAGGATGATGATGTAGCGGAAACCATCGGTGTGGGAATATAGCACAGGGCGCCAAGTGGGCGCTAAGTCGGACTTATGTCGGTTGTTAGCATGTGCGCCAAGTGGGCGCTAAGAACTTAGAGAAATATCTCGGTTGTTAGTAATAGGAGTGGCAGCCAGCGCGCTGACGCTTTTCAGTGACCGGCAAAAGGGAGCCCTCGCAGTGCCAAAGGATCTGAGATGGATGTCATCTATTTATAGTAGCGAGGACGCCGAGGAGTGCGTGGGCACTAGGCCTTGGGAGGCCAATTACTCATTGCCAAAGAATGGACCTTAGAAGGGGTCCTGTCACTAATCAGTGTCATGCCTTAGGTGTATCTCACCATTTGACCTAACATGATGCTGCATTCTGATAGTTGTCGCCATCTCGACGCCGAAGCATGCGACCACCATCTCCATGTAGGATCGACGACAAAGGCTATAAACACCCCACATGAAAGTCTCCTTGGCCCAAATTGCGTCGTTCTTTCTTCCTCCAGTGACCTGGTGTCTTTTTTTGAGTCGACCTCACCCTCGTTTTTTTGGTCTCTGTCTTCGTTCGTTTCTACTTTCGAGAAGTTTTTTATATTCAGCTTCAATTCACTTTCAATTTCATCAAAATCGGTCGCCCAAATGGCTCGCCTTTCGTCCTACTTTGTTGCGCTGCTCGTGGCAGCTTGTTCTTACCAAGTGGATGCCGGTGCGCTGCCTATTCTTCTAGTTCAGGAATACACTGACATTTTGGGCAATAGTACCGCTTGAAGCGCGTCACACAGAATCAACCACGTCAGTGCAAGCCACGATCACAGGTCCTGCCGACATTCCAAATTCGACGGCAGGGGGAGTGAATCCGACCGTCGTGTGTAACGTTGCTCGCATTCAAACTGCGACTGACCTCACTACGTCTGCCAAAGCGATGGAGGAGGTCACTGCTGTGGCCGGAGAGTAAGTTTTCATCTCTATCTTTCTACCCTACGTCGTGTTCTGATGGATTTTCGATATCAATGCGGATATCTCAGCTGCTGTCAGCGCGGCCAAGGATGGGTTGAAGACCGCCACTGAAGGCCTGGCTGCCATAGCCGATTCTCTCGTCGCTGGGGAGGCACCAAACGACGCTGATGGAATCAACCTCACAAATGGGTTGATGGCTGCAAAGACGGCCCTTGCTTCAATCCAAACGTACGTTTTGTTTTTCTACGTTGAATAACGAAGCTAATTTCTCCGCAGGGTCGACACCACCACAGATGGCGCTGTCGCAACCACTGAATTCCACCTCTCCCGCACGATTGAGGCTGGGGGGAGGGTCGTTAAGAATTGCCAGGCTGCAGTCGGAGGCTCTAATGCGGGTTCTTCAAAGGCTACGTCGAGCTCGACATCTACCAGTGTTAGTTCATCCGAAAGCATCTCCTCAAATGGAACCACCTCCGAAACCGGCAGTGACACATCTTCCTCTACCATTACTATTGTACGTTTCCCATCTTAATTTGCTTGCTCTGCATTCATCTGATTCATAAAATGCTTCCCTCCAAAGACGTCCCAGATAGCGTGAGTTTTTGCCTGCCTTTCGTCTGTAATTCATGTATTAACGCGATCCTGCGTCTAGGAAAGCCACGGGTGTCCACGCTGGCAGCATGGGAAGTGGTCACAACAAGAACGGTACTGTCGGCCACAAGATGGTAAACAACAACGGTACCGCCCACCACAAGATGAAGCAGAGTGGTAACATGAACCAGTTAAGTTAGTCACCTTGGCTCATTAGTAATGGGCCACCCTGCCCTGACAATCCATCAAATGGTAAGGGGCTAGCCGGACAGCCGGTTTGATTACCGGACCCCATTGTCAAAGGGGCGGCCGGACCCTGAACAATCCACCAGTAACTATGTGTGGGCCGTCAGCAACAATGTCCCATACCACTGGAGCGGCTGGGTGTACCTTGAATGTCATAACCCAGTGCGGGGCTGCCCTCCACCGGGGTGTTGGTGACACACCGGCGGCCATCATCCAGTTGAATACTTAGAATTACAAGTCTGGCTTATATCAATCATGCATAATATTATCAACCTATGTATGCTGTTTGCTACAATTTGAGTGGAATCACTCTGCCAGACTAAGCACTGCACATTGCTTCTGAAACACTCCACTGGACTAAGCACCACACATTGCCTCCACAAAAATGACACATATTGGAATGATCTGTTGGAAGAAGCTTCACACATTTAATCTGCAAAAGTATTTGAGTACACCAGCAAGGCGATTCCTCCGCAAATATTGCTCCACTGGTTATATAATTTTTTTATGGTACACCGCCGGACCAACCACTGCACATTGACTCCGCAAACATAGAAAAAAAATTATAATGAAGTTTGACACATTTACACTGAAAACATATCTAAGTACACAATACCTCCACAAATATTGCCCCACCGGCGGTGTCATTTCTTATGATATGCTGCTGGGCCAGCCACCGCAAATCGCCTCCGCATTTATATTGAAAATTTATAATAGTGTGTTAGAATACTTTTGACATGTTTATACTAAAACCATATTCAAGTACACGATACCTCTACAAATATTGCCCCGCCGGTGGTGTCATTTTTTATGATACGCCGCCAGGCCAGCCACTGCAAATCGCCTCCGCTTTTATATTGAAAATTTATAATAGCCTGTTAGAATATTCTGACATGTTTATACCAAAAACATATTTAAGTACACCATGCCACCGCAAATATTGCTTCGCCAGCGGTGTCATTTTTATGATACGCCGCCGGGCCAGCCACCGCAAATCGCCTCCGCTTTTATATTGAAAATTTATAATAGTGTGTTAGAATACTTTTGACATGTTTATACTAAAACCATATTCAAGTACACAATACCTCTACAAATATTGCCCCGCCTGTGGTGTCATTTTTTATGATACGCCGCCGGGCCAGCCACCGCAAATCGCCTCCGCTTTTATATTGAAAATTTATAATAGCCTGTTAGAATATTTTTGACATGTTTATACTAAAAACATATTTAAGTACACCATGCCACCGCAAATATTGCTTCGCCGGCGGTGTCATTTTTTATAATACACCGCCGGGCCAGCCACCGCAAATCGCCTCCGCTTTTATATTGAAAATTTATAATAGCCTGTTAGAATATTCTGACATGTTTATACCAAAAACATATTTAAGTACACCATGCCACCGCAAATATTGCTTTGCCGGCGGTGTCATTTTTTTTATGATACACCGCCGGGCCAGCCACCGCAAATCGCCTCCGCTTTTATATTGAAAATTTATAATAGCCTGTTAAAATATTTTTGACATGTTTACACCGAAAACATATTTGAGTACACAATCTCTCTGCAAATATTGCTCTGCCGGCGGTGTCATTTCTTTATGATACTCCGTTGGACTACCCACCACATAGAACACCCTGCCAAGCAAAGCACTACACATTGCCCCAAAAACACCACCAATCTAATGGTTCTTCAAACTTTAGCTGTGCACACTTTCTCTCAATATGAGCTCTGGCTCTGATAGCCAGAGATAACCAAGTATGCATTATGCAGGACCAGAAAAGGGTGTTGCGGCAACAAGGATGGTCTGGCTATTTTGCTTGTTGCCAGGCAGGGACCATCAAAGTTTCAGTTTGTGCCTGAGACATTTCCAAATTGAGGTGATGCGCTTGGTGCATGGGCCCTCCACCGCATGCAAACAGACCCTGCATCCCGACAAACAACGACGCACTCACCCAATTTCAATCCATGTAACCTGAAAACCAGCCAGGTGATAGACCTCAATGCCATGGTAATTACCATATTAAAATCTTCAAGAGATGTTTTGTTTTTGTTGACAAACACGGAAAAGAGGGTTTTATGTTGATAATCTCTATCAAACCTTGACTGCATTGTGGCATTACAACAAAAATCATCAAGACTTTTTTTTTTCCCGAACAACTTATCGTCGGGCCTAGCTCGTTAGAATTGTCCCCTTTCAAGCTTTTCAATGGTGGTTTTTACATGAGTCAAAAGTCATTATTACATGTTGCGGGGCTGAAACAACCTGTGAAATGGTACTTTTTATGATAGAAACCATCAAGGCTTTTCTTTTCCCCAAACAACTTATCGTCGGGCCTAGCTTGTTCGAATCCTGACTTCTCCAGCTTTACAGAGGTGGCTTTTACATGAGGTAACAGCCATTATTATGTTCTGCAGAGCTGAAACAGCTTGTGAAAAGTTAAAATTTACAATGAACACCATCAAGACTTTTTCTTTTCCTAGGTAACCTACTGTTGGGTCTAGCTTGTTCAAATCCTGCTTTCTCCAGCTTTCCAGAGGTAGTTTTTATGTGGGTTGACAGTCATTTTTACATTCTGTGCAGCTGAAACAATCTGTGAAAAGGTATTTCACATAAGTGACTCTTCAAAACACACTTGTGAGCATGTACAGAGGTTTATATACTTTCTTCCAAACCCCTTTGAAGGATCCAGATGAGTCTCCCCTCTGTAGTCTATCCACTGCAGCTGCAATATACCCTCCGCAATTTACCTCCCGCAATATACCCTCCGCAGCCACAATCTACCCTCTGCAATATACCCCCTGCAATATACCCTCTGCAGCTGCAATATACCCTCTGCAATATACCTCCCACAATATACCTCCCACAATATACCTCCCGCAATATACCTCCCGCAATATACCATCCGCAGCCGCAATATATCCTCTGCAATATACCATCCGCAGCCGCAATATACCTCCTGCAATATACCTCCCGCAATATACCTCCCACAATATACCTCCCGCAATATACCTCCCGCAATATACCTCCCGCAATATACCTCCTGCAATATACCTCCCGCAATATACCATCCACAGCCGCAATATATCCTCTGCAATATACCTCCCACAATATACCTCCTGCAATATACCTCCCGCAATATACCTCCTGCAATATACCTCCCACAATATACCTCCCGCAATATACCTCCCACAATATACCTCCCGCAATATGCCTCCTGCAATATACCCTCCACAGCCACAATATACCGCAATATACCCCCCGCAATATACCCTCTGCAGCTGCAACCTACCCTCCGCAATCTACCTCCTGCAATATACCATCCACAGCTGCAATCTACCCTCCGCAGCTGCAATCTTACCATCTGCAATCTACCCTCTGCAATCCACCCCTCAGTCCCCCCATAGAAAACATATGCAGAAGTAAACAAGAGTACCTCAGCAGTACCACCCATTTACTAGTAATCATATGTATCAACTGTCTGTTTAATTCTAGTGTTCTTTGCCCTAAACATGATTTTTGTATTTCTAAAAAATATGCAAGTACTACTCTGCCAGAGCAATTTCAAAGGCAGAGCATATTGCTCCAGTGGTGGTGTTTTAAAGAGGAATACATTGCCTCGGTGCCATTTTAATAAAAAAAACAATTGCCCCGGCGGTGTCATTTTTGAAAAAAAAAAAATACATTGCTCCGGCGGTGCCATTTCGAAAAGTAATACATTGGCCCGGCGGTGCCATTTTAAAAAATAATACATTGTGCCAGCGGTGCCATTTTTAAAAAAATGCATTGCTCCGGCGGTGCCATTTTAAAAAGTAATACATTGTGCCGGCGGTGCCATTTTAAAAAATAATACATTGTGCCAGCGGTGCCATTTTAAAAAGAATACATTGCTCTGGCAGTGCCATTTTAAAAAGTAATACATTGTGCTGGCAGTGCCACCTAAAAAAAATACATTTCTCTGGCAGTGCCAATTTAAAAAATAATACATTGTGGCGGCGGTGAAAAAAATACATTGGTCTTGCGGTGCCTCTTTGAAAAAACTGCACTGCTGCAACAGAGCTTTATTATATATATATATATTGCTCTAGACCTCCAACACAGCTATTCAAAAAGTGTCTCTTATGAAAAGGCAATGTGTTTTTATTGGAAGGTGTTCTGCTGGTGTGTTATATTCAGCTGTATATCTGGGGGGACATGATATGGACAATAGTTAATGAAGACTGCTTGTGTTTCAAAAGAAATTACAGTATCTCATCACCTTGCAGTAGGACTCTCATTGTGATTAATCATTCAGTATATTTTTCAGTTGTAATGGCTCACATTCATGACATTTAACTGATGACTGCAGCCCTATCACTATGTATGATCACCATCTATGTTTACATGGTACGCCGCAACTTGTGCCACCAGAGGACAGGGTACACCGCAACTCTCCCCGCCGGGCATCAGGACATCTCCGCCGGTGAGACACTACGCCGTCGGTTAAAAGGACAGCCAGCGCATGCTACTTAGTGAGTCCCTGTAAGGATCACGGCCGCACCATCACTAAAGGCACATCATAAGATTCGGGCCGTCCGGCTGGGCCCATGTAGTATGGTGTTTTGTCACATCCGGCTACTCCATTAGGTAAGGCACAATGTGACTAACATATGTGCATGAACGGTACCATGAACAGTGGTCATAAGATGGGCAACAAGAACGGTACTGTGAACGCCAGTCATCATACGATGGGGAGCAAGAACGGTACCATGAAGGCTGGTCATCATAAGATGGGGAACGGCACCGCCCACGGGGGCCATAAGATGAACGGCGGGCACAACAAGAACGGTACCGTCAAGGCTGGTCAAAAAATGAACGACGGGAAATCGAACAACGGGAAGAACGGAACGTCCAGCAGCGGCACTTCTGGTCACATCATGGGTACGACGATCAGGGCGTCTTCATCGTCTACCTCAGTGACCACCACCACCAAGATCATAATGTCATCTGCTACTATCACAACCTCGTCGCCTGCTCGTGTGACTACCACCACCGCCTCTCACCATATGATGAACAATGGCAATACCAAAAACTCCAGCTCCAGCTCTGGTCACAATATGAGCTCGGGTGGCGATGGCAAGTTGACCACCAAATCCACTTCAACGTCTAGTTCGTCCAAGGCCACCATCACCAAACCGTCGGCTTCCATGTCCGTGCATTCGACGTCGTCATCTGCTCGTGCTACCACCACACCGTCTCACCACATGATGAACAATGGCAAGGGCGGAAACACCAACACCAGCTCTAGTCACATTATGGGCTCCAGCAGCAAGGTCATCTCGACGATCAAGTCCAGTTCAACGACAACCTCATCAAGGGAAACCACTACCAGAGTCTTAGCTTCCACTACGATGTCTGTTCGACCGATGTCGTCCCCTGCTCATGCTACTACCACTACCGTTTCTAGCCATACGATGAACAACGGCAAGGGCGGAAATCCTAACACCAGCATGGGCTCGAGCAGCAAGGGCAGCTCGGCTACGAAACCCACGACAACATCTACTTCGTCAAAGGCCAGCAACACCAGCATGGGTCACAATATGGGCTCAGGTAATAAGGGCAGCTCGACTATCAAATCTACTTCAACGTCAAATTCGTCAAAGGCCATCACCAAGACATTGGCTTCCACCACCAAGTCGGCGTTTTCATCATCTTCTCGCGCCACGACCGCTGCGTCCAGCCACACTATGAACAATGGCAAGGGCGGAAACTCCAATACCGAGTCTAGTCACAATATAGGATCAAGCAACAAGGGCACCTCGACTATCTCGACATCGACTTCCTCAAAGGCTACCGATACCAACACTGGTCACAACATGGGCTCAAGCAACAAAGGCAGCTCGACAACCATATCCACCTCCTCAAAGGCCACCGCTATCAAGACCGTGGTTTCGTCTGCCTCTATCACCAGTTCGTCGTCTACTCGCTCGACGTCATCATCTGCAAGAGCTACAACCACCGCCGCATCTGGTCATATGAACAACGACAAGAATGGAACCATCAGCAACAAAGGCGATTCGACCACTAAATCCGCTTCACCTACTTCGTCAAGGGCCACCGCTACCGGAACTGTAGTTTCCTCTATGAAACTTGGGTCTACTCTCAAATCCACTTCGACCTCTACGTCATCGGTTGCCACCGCTACCAAGACCACAGTTTCGTCGGCTTCCGTTACCAGTTCGTCGTCTGTTCGCGCGACGTCATCCGCTGCCCGTGGTACCATCACCGCGTCGACCTCGTCCACCGACTGTCCTCCTCCGAAGACCAAGTTCGTCACTGTGGTATGTCTTCTCCGCGTTTGCGTTTGCAATTTTTCATCTGATATACTTATTCTCTTTGTGTAGACCGTCACCCGGAAGTGAGTCATCTCCAAGTTCGCCCTGTAAAAGTCTGCTCACAACGTTTGCTCAACGTTAGGGCAACCGCGACTGCGTCTAGCAAGGACGATGGCAAGACGAACCAGAACCAGAACACGAACACTTCTAGCTCTACTGTTACTACCGCCACCGGTAATCCTATTGCGTCATCATCATCATCGAGGAGTGCGATCGTGGCCGCCAAGCCCACTGGGAAGGTGATGAGGCGCCAACGGAGAAGTCTCCAATGCAACATTACTCGACTCCAGATTGTGAAGGGCCTTTCGGCCTCGATGTCCTCGCTTTCACAAGTTGGTACCTCTGATGAAATGTAAGCTTTTCCCTCTTCTTCCAGATGTTACTAATGCGCTGCCAATGTAATAGTGACGCCGGGATAGCCGCTGCTGTTCAACAAGCCCAAGACGCACTGAATACTTCGTTAGTCGGGATTAAGACTATTATGGAAGCCCTTGGTGCGGGCGAGCTCTCGCCTGCTTTTGCATGGTCACAAGTTGACAATGGGTTAAATGTCGCCAATGCTGCTCTGGACAGTATCACTTCGTACGTCTTTCGTGCTTTTTGTGTGTCCTTCTCAGCCTCAAAACTGATTTTCGGACACGTGCGATAGATCAAGCGAAGCTGTGAATGACGTATTTACTGTTGTTCAAGACCATATCGCTTCGACGCGGGAAGCGACCAAGGCTGTAGCGGAGACTTGCAATTAGCCCTATTTCGACTTCGGACATTCTTCTGGAGTTATATTCTCGCTTGACTTACAAAGAATGTCTACGGACTTGTACAGTTTGACATTCCCAGAGTTGCTGCAAGGTGTATGAAAATCTGCGACCAACCACTGCTAAAGGATGCTGAGGTAATGTGAATTGCACACCTGTGCTGTGATGATAGGAAACAAATCTTCTCCAGAATCCAAGTGACTGGCGCAAAATGAACAAATTTCTCGGGCATGGTTCACGGAACTCATCGGGTCTTTAACTTTCTAGTTAACAAATTGGCGACTCCGTGAAACCTTCCACGTTAAACGGCGTAAGTACGAGTAGTATGGAAAATTTTATTGCGTGGACGACTACAGGACCCGAAAATGAAATGGTGTCTTTAACAGAAGAAGAAAAATTAGACGGACTCGTATCTTGGGAAGACGGCGATGGGATGTGGCGACAAGTTCGAAAACACAAAACAAAACAAAATGAACATGTCCGTTGAAAAGGAAGACCAGAAAAAGTATGTCCGTGCTCCGACATTTCGAGCTCCACCTATTTCGGCAACTGACTTGCGGCCAACTCAATCAAATTCTGCTGCCCCGGGGTATTCTGCACATATCTCGCATTAAACTTCAAAACACTCTTGAACCCCAAGAACGCTTGCGGCGTGACTGGGAGGAAGGTCCCTGCCACGAGCCATGTGACACCAACGGTGCATGGGGGTGTGGTTAAGGATCCGGTGTATTTGAACAAGGGAACGGTTGTAAAGAACTTTGTGATGTCGGAGAAGTCGAGCGGGCCCGTGTAAGCCGAGCTTCCAGGTTTCTCGATTGCCTGTAAAGGACCGGAAAGAAGAGGATCTAGGAATTTAGCATTGGTGCCGTTGAGAGATAATTCAAACAGGGCGGCGAGAACAAGATAGGTGCCATCTGGTGGATATTAGAATTTACTTTAAACCAACAACAATCGATTTTTACGACATACCAAGGGCAGTGTGGACAAAGTGAGCTTCCATGGGATAAAATTGGGCGTCGATGAGATGTTCCGCGGGTGTATGGAAATGATATTGCTTCAGGCTGTAAGTCTTTCCTTCGAACGTCGTCGTCCCATTAATGACGACCTCTACCGTCGTGCCAAGGTTCTCAAATTCGGCTGACCCGACGTTGGGAATATTTATCTGCGGATTGGAGGTCGAGAGGGAGATGATGCTTTGGTCGATATTAATGGGCGATTGGACGTTGGCGGTTGAGCAATTAACATTGGCGGTGCTGAGGCCGGTCCAGCCAAGAGGGCCAGTGACTCCGATGTAACTGAAATTATTGACGGGTACATCACGTCCTGCAATCTGGGGGCTACGACGGAGGTTTGTTAACGGAGATTCGTGTATGCAGCTGCCTTCGACGAAGGGGATAGAAAGGACAGCTAATGCTGTGGCGACTAGCATGGACGTAAATGGTGAAGTTGTGAGAGCCATGGAGCGAACTGGGTGGAAAGCGCCGAGGCTGTAGACTGACGCTGCGACAGAACTGGAAGAGAAGGGCAATAAAATGCAAAGACGAGACGGATTCATATTTAAATTGTAAAAGAAGCCTTCCTCAAGGCAGCTCAGAATTCGCCCAACATAAACACCGATCCGAAAGGACGAAAGCACCTGGTACACAGTGAAAAGGGTGACTGTGGCAGACGAACGTTCAAACCAAAAGAAATCAGGGATAATAACGTTTTGGGCGACAAGGGAAAGCCTGCGGTTCAAGTCGTGGCTCCAGGGACGCTGTTGGAGTGCCATAAAAATGACAGGAAGAATGTCCGCTGTGAGTACAAATTGTACAATATCTGTGAAAGACCTGGAGGCTGGAGCCAGTGACCTTGACATCAACGCTTTTTCAAGGATGATCAAATAGAAGGCCGTTTGAAGGATCCGCTCTAGATTTAACCTCGAGAGTTGGGAAAGTGGGGAAAGTCGAGACGCACACTGGCAAAAGTCTGTGACCTGAATTCATTTTGTTTTCTCATTGAGTGACGTACACGTGCCGCCGGTAAGAGCGAGTTATGATAAACGCACCAAGGACGAAGTTCAGGGTCACCGCTGATATTCATGCCCCATTTCCAATGTCGTGAAAGGCATTAATCGACCAGTAAGCACATGTGGACATCATGCGCAATACATGAGGTAGGACACTACGCCACCGCCTCGTCATTTCCATTACTTTTCGACATGCCAGTGATCTATGTGGCAAAGGTGGCCGTTACGGTATTTATTTCAACGTCCTCAAAATTTTCAGCTGATATGGGTGTGCGGAATACAAAATTTAACCATGGGCAGTAGTAAGAGTGATGTGTTCAAGAGCCACTGTAATTTCCTGCCATTCTCAGAAAAAAGGACGTCTCGTCTCGTACTAGTAGAGTGATCTATATTTGACATCAGGCATACTAATAATACCAAAAATAGACAGGCACATTATGATATCGGCCCTTTCCGCTCTAAAAAGTGTCTATCTTGTTGTTGACATCGCGCTCTTTTCAAAAAGACGTCCAATCTTCGGTGAGACTCAATAAGACGCCTGCAAGGAGCAGCCCTTGACGTCGCGACCAACGAATTGTGATGTTATAGCGATAGTAAGGAACGCTTGTTGGATGGGCGGTTGATCATGGTAATGCGGTGAACGTAGAGTACCAGAAAGAGGGCGTTGACCCGAACTCCTGACTTCACCGAGCGACAACACTTTTCATTGTAAAGGACTGTCATATAAATTTAATTGAGCCTCCCCTGCCTCCACATTTTACTGATATGCTGCCTCTGAGAGTGGTCCTACACTCTGTTCTACAATTTGAACCACTCTCCAATGACGCGGACTTGGGTTTTTAATTTCATGTCTTCGATTTCAGTGCCGATAAATCATTAATTAATGAGTAGGCAGTCGTTTCAAACTTACTTATCAATTATATGACGTTTCAAAGGGTCAATCTTCCAGAGACGGTTAACCGTATCTGGGCAGCTTCTACATTGATAGATCTCTGGTGGTTCGAGTCCGACACAAATAGGTTTGCGGGGATTCAGAGAAATCAACTTTCGCCTGTCGTATATTACATCAGCGTTGACGCGAGGGCGATCAATGGAATGCCTGAAAACCCAACATGTCAAAAGTTTCTCCCCCACAGAAACAGATATATGTATACGTACTCGTCTTTGGCATGGCAAGGCACATTCGTCCTTGTCGTTGCATCATCATAGTGCTCAGGACAGTGGTTACAACACCAGACACGGTGCTCTGGATTCGGGAAGGGTTGTTCACGTCTTTTGATACATTCCGTAGCCTCTGCCGTTAGAAGTGCCCAAGATGTACCGGAGCGGTGGGAGTCCGTATTCTCCAGCTGAATCACATGAGAAATCTATCCGAATTTAAGATTAGCTTTGGGTATCATGAATATCGCACGACTTACACATTCCCTCCATGTCAAGACCTGGCGAACAAGCACTTCTGGGTGCCAAGAGACGTTGCATGCCTCGCAGAGAAACCGCGCATCTCTTGCGTCCAGATCATTGACAGTCGCTGCTTTCGGGTCCATACCCAGAAGATCAACTAACGCGAGTGCGTTGGCTCTGCCCGCAACACTAAACTGAAAGTCAAACTGTGAATCAATGCATTTAAAATGAGAACGAAAGTCTTTCAACCCGATTAAGATTGAAGCGGGGCGTCTGGGCCCGTCATCTTTGCAAAATGCACAAACGAAGACATTAACAGCAAGGTCCAAGTTCTCATACGGGGACTCTAGCCTGGCATAGATATCACTTTCATGAGCCTGCATCCAAGAATCGAGGAAAGGCGCCAGGTGACTTTGTACTAGTTCCTCTGGAAGCTCCCCAACTTCATTTGATTCCGAGGCAATGAAAGCCGCAAATGGCTCGCGCTCATACACTGCTTCCACGTTTGGAAAATTTGGCCACGAAGTTGGAGGAAGTGTCTGTTGATGTGTGTGATATCGGTCACCCACTAACTTCTGCCTTTGGAAGATCAAAGACTGTCGCTGTTTTTCCAGTCTATCAAACTTGTGGGCTTCGGAAGTTCGCAGAAGATGAAGAGCAAGCTGCTTGCAAGCTTGATCCAAATTTCAGATAGAATATATTGCGAGAGGAGAAGATTGAGCTTACAACGATAGTTAAATTTGAATCTTTCTCTGTATAAATATTGATCAAGAAGCAGGCCTAATGCGATGTCTAGATCCACTTGATCGTGGCCGCGTCGTACAAGGACAGAAGAATGGCTAACACCAAGGTCAGTCCTTGACGTCTCTGATGATAGATGTCAGATGAGATACCGTTTAATCAAGTGCTTCATGTTATCCTCGTGTTCCTCCGTAACTTGATTGCCCATCTGGACCATAAGTTCATTGGCCCTCTTTGATTCCTATCCTTAGACATCAGCAGGATGTATTTGATGAGGGGCACCGTATATCACCTTAAGGCCACGAATTGCGTTGGCGATTTCCAAGGATTTGAAACCCTCGAATTCTAGGGATGCCCCCTCCATACCAGAAGAGATTCTGGAGTTGAAAAAGACGAAGTGCGCAGTCATGTCTCTGATGTCCCAAGACAGATATCTTGGCTCCTCGTCATAGTTCCAAATGTTTGGGTAAAACCTAGGATCTAGTTTCAGCAGTTAATCGTAAGATCATGTCATGAAATAGAAGGGAAAATACCTTGACGATAAGAAGGAGGGATGCATTTCCAAAATGGATCTACATCCTCTCCGATCCCAAGATCAATGCTGGAGATCTCAAAATACGAATCTTCCTGCGTGTTTGAAAAGGACCTCCAAGTAAGTCAGAGACCTCACTGATTACATCGTCCGCTCACCATACAGAACTGGCAAAAGCGGCGTCGAAAATGAAAATCAATCATGGCGCCCTTCCGCCCACAATACTGTCCCAACAGTCAATATTTACACACATTATAGTGAAACAGCCTACATCACACGTCGCCGGGCCAAACAGCATCGACGCCCATCGCGGTTCAGAGATGTCCACAGGGCACGGCGGGAGAACTTCAGAACACCTTTTAAACGCTTCCTCCCACACGGACGACGCCCTCCGATCCAAGAGTATACTCCTCAACCTCTTCGTTGAACGTATAAGGGAGTAAAGGTCGATAGGATGGAGAAATTCAAAGATCTACGTTGGCACGTGGCTCAGTAAGTGGGTTGACAGGGCGAGAATCTAAGGCATAAGGACGGACCTCGAGAAGAAGTTCTACGGGAAGATCCAGAGCACAGGATATGTCCAGAGAGATTGTTCTTGAAGCCTTGATCTCTGCCCTCCTACGGCGTTTTATCGCAGCTGCAAACCAATTGCCTGAGATGCCAGTGGGCGATGAGTGTGATGTGTATTCCACATATTTTGCTCCTCAACTCACCATTCTGGAAAATTGGGCCAACTTCCGTGTCAAATGGAAGAACCCGCTCGTAGACCTCGTCAAGCTCGCCGGCGCTCTCCAGGTCATTGAATGGCAGAATGCCAGCATTCGGAAGGATCACCATGAATTCGTCGACGTTTCCTCCGTACTCCATCGTTTGGGGAACCTATATGCGCGAATTTCTCAACGTTGCGAGGAAGTTGCGAGCCAAAGTCAAGCTTCGAGGGTTTTGTAGGATGAGAGGGATTTACTTGAACAGTGAACAAGCACCTAGAGGAGCTAGGCCCACAGAGTGACAGAAGGGATTTGAACGATACGAGTACTACAGTACACGTGACGAATGCCAACGCGGTAATTCCACCAGCACCCTTCGGGAATCCACGAACCATCTGCAAGAGGAGTTCATGGTAGCTCGCATCATCTCTTATAGGACAAACCAATCTTGCGTGAGTTCCATTCAATTTTCCTGTCTGTAGCAGGGTCCCATGCTTTTCACGCACCCAACTTCTACTCAGATCGCAACATGTGCAGCGCCTACTGGCAACAATCTCACAGAAATTGACATTATACATCCATATTCTCCTTCCCAACTCTTCTCTACAAATCACTCCACATCCTCTAGTTGGCTCCCTTCTCAAAGTCTCCCAAACCTATCCAAAAGCAGCCTTCCATACCCCGGCTACCATATACATTAAATCAGTTCCTTCAACAAAAAACGATCTCACACAAATTGAAAAAATACGCACAGCAGCCTCAGGCGAATTCCCCAAAATCTTCTCAACCTTCTCCAAAACCTCAGGCGTCAACTTCGGGATCACCTCAAGCGCCTTGAGGTTCTGCATGACCTGCTCAGGACTCGACGCGCCGAGAATGATGGTGGAGGTGTTGGGATTCTTCGCGACCCATGCGAGTGCGAGGGCGCTCACGGTTGTATTAAGTTCTGTGACAGCGTTGGTGAAATTTGGATGGACGTAAGGAACAGATCTAGAATGAGATGTGACTGACCTCCCTCTGCCAACTTGGTCAATTCTTTTATCTTACGCAACTTTTCTTGGCCTTTGGGCTCGTGCAATTTTTCAACGTCGTCTCTGAAATACTCGGAGTTGGTGTCGAAGCGCGATCCTTTGGGGATGCCGTCGTTGTACTAGATGTATATGTTGGATGTAAAGAGATGAACGGCACGCATCAAGGGACACACCTTTCCTGTAAGTAAACCGCCCGCCAAGCAAGAATATGCGGTAGTTCCTAGATTGTATTTCTTGTAGAGGGCACTACACCCTATCAGAATCCAAATAGAACTGGGGAGGAGGGAAAATGCAACACACTCGTATTCCTTCTCAGGTCGCTCACGATGGAACATGCTGTAAAAAATTACTACTTCATCAACTGCGGAGTGGGCATGAAAACACACTTGTGTTGGCATTGCTCAGCAATCGGAGCAATCAAGTTCAGCTTGCTTGCGACATCTAAGCAGATGATAGATGAGCAAAGTCATGGAGAAAAGCAATGCCCACGATGAGCTTCTTCAATCTCGCGGGCACTCCATTCCGACGTAGCCCAATAGAAAGCCTAGTTATACAACTCAGCCATATCAAGCTCAAATGAGTTGCCGTACATACCCATCCTTTCTCAATGACATAATTGAACGCGCGAACGATCTCCTCCATCGGAACTATGGCTCATAAGTAATCGCACTCTCAATTCAATTTTTTAAAGACGAACGCACTCACCAGTGTCATCATGCCGATGAGCAAAAATAACATCTACATAATCAAGCCCCAAGCGTTCCAGGGATTCCCGAGTACCTTCAATAATGCTTCACACATCATCATCAGCTCCTCCTCAACGAAAATGAAAACACGCACTGTTTCTGTGAAAGTCCCGTATCATTCGGCCCCTTCCTTGATCCCCAAAATATCTTCGTGGTGATGATAAGGTCGGTACGGCGCAGACCCAGTTCCTTGATAACGCGTCCCCTGTAAGTACGTGGAAGGAGTCCGATCGTCAGATTGTAAGCCACAAGTCTGATAGAGAACGAACATCTCTTTCTCGGATCTCCCATCGGCATATTCCTCTGCGGTATCGTACATGTTGATGCCTGCTTCGAATGCAGTTTTGATGATTTCCTGTGCGCCGTGATTGGAGGCAAACCATGAATTCGGCGGGGGGCCGGGCTAACCTTGACAGGATCTCCGAACAGGGTACCTCCAAACGTGAGCCCTACGAATTATACAAGTTAAACACCGTTGCAACTTCCGAGACGTTCTTGAGTACATCCACCCAAAGAAAACAGTGGCACACGCAGTCCGCTAGAACCGAGCCTGCGGAAAGGCATGTCCTTGGGGTCGTATTCCGGTTGAACGCCTGACATTGTCTGGATACGAGTGGGAGCTTTGAGGAAAACGCTGGTTTGTTCTTGTTTTGCTAACGACATCGATGACGCCTAACTTAGCGATGCGCGTAATCTAACAACGTCCTACTAGGACAATAGACACAAGATCAACGTAGCTCCTCCCCTAAAGATACGTGTGACAGCGTACAGGACGGTGAGGAAGTGCGTGAACGTGGGCGTTGTCGTTGGAAAGCGTGACGACGGCTTGGATGCGGATGGGCAGCAGTACAGGGACCTCTGCTTTCACCTACGGTAAGTCGTCCACAGCACTACTATATTCATGGCGAGTGAAGGCGATGACGTGAATTTCAGGGGACCACGATTGACTAGTGAAGGACGGAAGACACGTCGACAAGAGCCCCTAGTACAGGACGGCGAGGTAGTGCGAGTGCGTGGGCATTGGCATATGAAAGGGGGGGGGTTAGAAGTGGATGGGCAGCAGAGCGGGAAGCTCTGCTTGAACGTTCGGTAAGTCGTCTACAGCACCATTTGACTAATGAAACTCACGAACATTTTATACAACCGCGTCAATTGCATTGAAGCTCGCGAGCTTTGGCTTCAATGCAGTCGACGCCGTGACCGTTCGTGAAGGATTCAACGTACGTCCACGGCCAGAACCTTCCCAACTTTTCAGTTCACGATCGCACGTTCTTCCGGGCCAATACTCGACTTGACTTCACCGGCGATCTTAAGCGGCGCGGACGAAAGCGTTCGTGGAAATCACGAGGACAGTTAGCATGCTATTCCTGATGTGGTGGCAGAAAAAGGGAATGTCAGCGGGTGCTTATGTCGCAGGGCAGGAAAGCGGGGAGGGAAGCAGATGGGGGGACTCACTGTGGGCGGCATCCAAGGCGACTCTAACGACTGGGGGACAAACAGCGACGACAAAACGCATTGTTAACGGAAATGGCTTACCGATCGGAGACGAGCAAAATGGAGCGAAAGGCGTCGACGTCGAAAAGGAGGGGGAGGAGAGGGTAGTAATTCAGTGTGGACGCATACATTGACGAAGAATCCTCTCCCCCCAACTAGAAACGTCACGTAAGTTATCTTCGTTGATGTGCGAGTCAAGGCCCGAGGCCTGAAATTTGAAACGTTAAACGACGACACTGATCTACCAATTAGGCACAGTGCATGAGTGTAGCACTGTAGTAGTTTTACATAAAAGGGAGTGTGTCGTTGCACTTTACCCACCCACCTGCTTGCCACCTGCATCCCTCTTTTTATGTAACTTATACACAACTTATACAGCATTCATGTACATCGTTACATCAGTACTTAGTCAGACACCTTTAAATGAGCCCTACATTTTGCGGGTATGCGGTGGCCTCCGGGCGTGACTACAATTTTCACCATTCTCCAATCACTTGAACGTGGGTTCGTAATTTGATGTCTTCGGAGCAACAATAAATTATCAATTCATAACCATGCATTCCAAACTTACTTATCGAACAAATGAGCTTTGAGGGGGTCGATCTGCCAGAGACGGTTGATTGTGTCTGGGCATTTTCCACATTGGTAGATCTCTGGCGGTTCGAGTCTGACACAAATAGGCTTGCGGGGATTCAGAGGGATCAACTTTCGCTTGTCGCATATCACATCAACGTCGACGCGAGCGCGTTTAATGGAATGCCTGAAAACCCAGCACGTCAAAAGTATGTCTCCCGCAGAAATAAATATATACGTACTCATCTTTGGCGTGGCGACGCGCTTTCGCCTTTGTCGTTGCTTCATCGTAGTGCTCAGGACAGTGGTTACAACACCAGACATTGTAGTCTGAACTCAGGACGGACAAGAGTCGACACACACACAGAAATGAGACACGACACACGTGATGGAGAACGACACACCTGTCCAATGTTCAACACATTTGATGGCAAATGTCGGTCACTTGCTCAGGAAGATGTGTCGAATCTTAAGTATCCGCATGATACCATACTATCTCGATTGATTCCGCCCTTTTTGGATTGTCAGAAAATGAAATTTTGATGTGTGACGGAAATTAGCTATGTATCATACACCAAAGATTCTGTGGTTAAGTCAAAATCTGCCTCTCCATGCTCAAGTAAAATTTAGGATTATAAGTTTTATTCCTTAAACTACTTACTATACAAAGTTATACATAAATTCTAAGAGAGGGAGCAACCTCGCGACCCCGGAATGTACGCACCAAGAATCCTCACTGTCGACGGCCTAGTATCGGCGCATCTGGGTGTCAGTATGTAGTCTCGGTGGCCGTGGTCGGGCGGGACGCAGTGGTGGCCTCGTCGCAAAGGGCGCTGGCGTTTTCGCTGTCATTCGGGGTTGGTTAGTGGGGAGGCGTGGCATACACACCTGGCTGCACGGTGGGTGCTGTATCCTCTGTTGGTTTGCCAAGTGGCACTGGGTCCTCGTCGATGGGCCTCAGCGCTGGATTCTGTCTGCAGGCATTTTCATGGGCCGATTCCGTCAGCGTGGGTGGTTTATCCTGGGCGCTGGGTTGTTGCCGTTGGTAGATGGGCGGTTTTGTGGGCGTTTTCATGGGCGATTAGTCGTAATCCGAGGGTTGGGTTTGCGAGAGGGGGTTGAATTGGGGGCGGTGGTCGCGTTTGCCGTGGCACAGGGTGTGGGAGGTGATGGTGGTGGGTTGTTAGCAAAAATCCGGGGCTGAACAAAGTGGGAACCACCTGAAAGAGCCCATGACCGTTCTCTTGGTCCTTGTCAGCCATAGCGAGGGTGCGAGATGGGCAGGAAGAGAGCGAGGGGGGTGGTGGTGGGGCACAGGCAAGCAAATGGCGGTGGGGGTGATGAGAAAGCGGTCGTGACCAAGTCGTCACAACCATCATCACGCTCGTAACTTGTGGCGGAGTTTCGAATTGATGCACGGCACACTCGAAAATGCGAAATCACGAAGAACGACACATTGTTACCAGGTGTGTCGCTTCTCACATGATGTGTCCTACTCCTCATCTGTGTGTGTGTGTCTCCTCTTGTATATCCTCGTCTGAACTCGGGAAGGATTGTTCACGTGTTCTGATGCATTCGGTCGCCTCTGCCGTTAGAAGTGCCCAAGATGTAACGGAGGGGTGGCAGTTCGTGTTCTCCATCTCAATGACATGAGAAATCTATCCGAATCTCATATCAGCTTTGGATATAATCAAAATCGCACGACTTACACATTCCCTCCACGTCAAGGCCTCGCGACCAAACACTCCCCGGGCCGGCCCTCCCGGGTTCCAAGAAATGTTGCATCCCTCGCAGAAAAACCGCGCGTCCCTCGCGTCCAGGACATTGACTGTGGCTGTTTTCGGATCCATACCCAGAAGATCAATTAACGCGAGTGCGCTGGCTCTGCCTGCAAAGCTAAATTGAAACCCAAACTGTGGACCAATGCATTTAAAATGAGAGCGGAGGTCTTCCAAGCCAATCAAGATCGAAGCGCGGCGTCTGAACCCGTCTTTTTCGCAAGAGGTGCAGATGAAGACATTTACGGCAAGGTCCAAGTTCTCATAAGGGGCTTTTAGCCTAGCATAGATATTGCTTTCATGTGTCTGCATCCAAGAATAGAGGAAAGGTGCCAGGTGACTTCGTACTAGTTCCTCTGGGAGCACTCCAACTTGGTTTGATTTTGAGGCAATGAAACCTGCAAATGGCTCGCGCTCATAGATTGCTTCCACATTTGGCAGATTTGGCCATGAAGTTGGAGCAAGTGTCTTTTGATAAGTGCGATATTGGTCACCCACTAGCTTTAGTGATGTGCAAGGGTTTGTCAACCCTCCAAGGGTCAGGGGTAAGGGTCAGGAGGGTAAGGGTCAGGGTAAGGATTTTGTGACCCTCAACAAACCCTTGACCCTTCTGAAGGGTCAGGGGTTTTTCAGGGGTTTTTTTAGGGGTTTCATTTCTCTAATATCAAGGTAAGTGCTCCAGATAAAATGATTTTAAATCACATTGAATCAGATAAAATATCATCCAAAGAGACCTCACTACCTTTGCAACACTTAGTATTGTTCAGATACACTGAATTCCTCATATTTCATCAATAATTTACTAAAAACCATGTGTACTGTCATAAATATACTTGAATGATGTGTATTTCACAGGCATCTTGCTATTTATTTACTATCTATAAAGCTTGAGCAGTCATTTGCTCCAAACCCTTGTTCAAACCCTGCTGGGGTTTCTTACCCTCCAACCCCTGAGATACCCTTACCTTACCCTCCAAAACCCTTGTTGGCTGGGGTCAAGGGTTTTGGAGGGTAAGGGTCAGGGTCAGCCTGAGTTGACCCCAGGGTTACCCCTGCTCATCACTAACTAGCTTCTGCCTTTGGAAGATCAAAAACTGTCGCCGTCTTTCCAGTCTATCAACCTTGTGGGCCTCGGAAGTTCGTAGAAGTTCCAGAGCAAGCTGCTTATAGGCTCGATCCAAATTTCAGAAATTGAGTATATTGTGAGAGGAGAAGCCTCAGCTTACAACGATAGTTAGATTTGAATCTTTCTCCGTTTAAATACTGATCAAGAAGCACGCCAGATGCGGTGTTTAGGTCCACTTGATTGTGGCCGCGTCGTAAAAGGACAGAAGCATGGCTAATACCAAGGTCAGACCTTGACATATCTGATGATAAACATCAGATGAGATACCGTTTAACCAATTGTATAATGTTGTCCTGGTGTTCCTTCTTAATTTGACGGCTCATCTGGACCATAAGTTGATTCGCCCCTGTTGATTCCTGTCCATCGACATCAGCAGAGTGGATTTTATGAGGAATGTGTATATATCACCTCAATGCCACGAACCACATTGGCGGATTGCAGGGATAAAAAATTCTCAAATTCTAGGGATGGGCTGGGGATACCAGAAGAAATTCTCGAATTGAAAAAGCGAAAGCGAGTCATCATCTTGTTGATATCCCATGTCAGATATCTTGGCCTCTGATGATAGTTCTCAACAGATGGGTAAAACCCTTGATCTAGTTTCAGGATATAATGATGAGACCATGTCATTAAATAGAAGGAAAGTTACCTCATCGATAAGAAGGAGGGATGCATATCAAGAATGTATCTAGATCCTCCCCAATCCCAAGGCAATTCACATCAATGCGAAACTTATCAACATACATATCATCCTGCATGGTCGAAAAGTACCTCCAAGTAAGTCAGAGACATCACTGAATATATCATCCACTGACCATACAGAACTGGCAAAAGCGGCGTCGAAAATGAAAATCAATCATGGTGCCTTTCCACCCGCAATACTGTCCCAATAATCAGAAATTTAAAGGTGGTAGTAAAACAGCCTACATCACACGTCGCTGGGTCAAACAGCATTGACGCCCATTGCGGTTCAGATATGTCCAGAGGACACGCCGGGAGAACATCACAACACCTCTTGAATGCTTCCTTCCAGACGGACGACACCCTCCGATCCAAAAGTATACTCCTCAGCCTCTTCGTTAAGCATATAACGGAATAAAGGTCGATAGGATGGAGGAATTCAAAGATCTGGGTCACACGTGGCTCAGTAAATCGGTTGATGCGAAATCCTGAGGCATCAGAACGGACCTCGAGAAGAAGTTCAATGGGAAGATCCAGAGTGGAGGATATGTCTAGAGAAATTGGTATTGAAACCTTGATCTCTGCCCTCCTCCGGCGCTTTATCGCAGCTGCAAACCAGTTGCCTGAGATATAGGTGATGAGTGTGATCTGTATTCCTTATATTCTGCTTCGCAACTCACCATTCTTAAAATATGGGTTGAAACAGGAGTTAGATTCCATCTGGAATGGATTCAATGGAATCACCCGCTCATAGATCTCATCAAGCTCACTGGCACTCTCCAGGTCGTTAAATGGCAGAATCCCGGCATTGGGAAGAATCATGGTGAATTCGTCGACAATTTCTTTGCACATCATCATTTAAGAATGTACGGGAGCAAAGTTTTTGAGAGTTGGGCATCGAAAGTCAAGGGGACTGACTGACAGGTCTGTCACAATCGACTTTGACGCACCGTGACTCGGAATCATGCTGGCCGAGCTGACCAGTCTTCATGATCACCAGCCTTTCACCACAGCCAACTCGCATCTTCCGTTATCGGACAAAACACTCCGGAGAAAAGCTTGAACTGAGGCAGGCGTAAAAATCTGTTTTACGTGTTACATATTTTCCGTGAATGATACCTGACAAAACCGGTATCTAAGCTTGATCTAACAGCCATATCAGTTCAAAATATTCTTCAGAACCACTTATTAGGCGGGGGAGAATATTCGTAGTTAGACGGTGAGCTGTGTAGAAGAATATTTTAAGTACTTATAAACTAATATTCGTAGACTAATATTCTTTGTAGACGGATATTCTTTGTAGGTGTTGGAAGTTGATATAACATTCTACAGGGAATTCTAAGTACTATATCTGGTCAGGATCAAGGGGGTTCAAGAATTTAAAAAAAGTAGCTGGGGTCGAATTTTTTTGTAAGGCCCTGTGTGCTTGACCTACCTACCTATGTAATCAGGCACATGCCTATATATGGCAATATGACATCATCATCATCATCATCATCACTCTGATCTTCTAAGGCTTCACATCCCCAATTTCGTGGGACTATCTCCAATGCAACACATTGTAGGTGGTACTAAAAAATAAGTGAGTGTAGTGATTAACCTGTGCAAGACTGATACTCACCTGTTGAGTGTCACATCCAACCCTTTTACATTTTACCAAGCCATTGCATCCTGAGTGCAATACCACACTGCACAGGCATCTGTTTAGAGTGTCTGATGTGTTGAAAGCATCAAGATGATTGGAGTTTTGAAATCAGGTTACACAGCATACCTATCAGTGTCAAGAACTGGTCTCTAACTGTTTTGTCAGTAAATTGTGATTGATTAAAACATTAGACAAAAATTTGATGAAGATTAGACTGTGAAAAACAATTTTGAAGCCAGAAATTGGGCTGAATATAATGAAATATAATATCCAGTCAAGATAATGTACTATACAATGATATTTTAGATGCAGGAATACTGTAAATCACCTTGGAAAACCAATTTAGGACTATCTTATAGAGGGTTCCAAAAATCTTTTTTTCAGCCTATGGCCGACCTACCTACCCAACCCCTGGTCTGGCATTCAGATCCCTGAACCCCCTTGGTCAGGATATGCGGATATTTGACTTTTTCGTTGATGTAGCTTCAAGATCATATTGTTCAGCCTTAAAATTTTACAATACGCTAGCCAATTCAATTTAACATGCTGCCCAAAATTTTGAGAATTTTTGGAAGATGTGTTGTAGCCTCGGAGTGTTGCCGTCGTGAGGAGGCAAGTGAACAAGATATGCAAAGGCATGTCACAGTAATGTCACTGAGGGATTTTGCACAATGTGACAGTCTCCCAAGCAGGGCAATTGTCTCGTATTTCTTTCTCAAAATCGATTTTGACGACTTCCACTTGTCCTGCCTTCCTGAAATTTTGAGGATGTGCCTAATATTGGTATTAGATAGTGTCTACGGAAAAAAATTGGGAGTAAGCCTCACACAGAATGCGTTCCTGGAGCCAAAGCGTCATACACCTATCTAAAATCTCACCCTTTGGCTTCTCACACTTCGTACACTTCATGAATCCCGTCAAAAATTTGCAAGCAGTATTAAATACACTATTTCAACATGAGTGAATTTTCTTGAAAGAGCAGGACTAAGGGAAGGACACGAAAAGTGAAATCCGCATATCTTGATACCACGCATATCCTGACCATATATAGTAAGCGGTTACATAAGTAGTCAATAATGCAAAGTGAGGATTTCACAATTGAGGTGAAGATTCTTCAAAGGCGGAAATCTATTTAGAGGGAATTTATTGGAGGTGGGGATTCTTCGGAAACGGAATCAAAGTCAAAGCAAAGTCAAAGCTACAATTCATTTGAGGCGAGGATTTATTTGAAGTGGGAACTTCTTCGATGCCGGGGAATTCTTGGAGGTAGGATATTATGCGAGGCGAGGATTCAAGAAAAAATGGATGGGGAGCGGGATTTTGTGAGCATAATTACCTACCACCTTCCTGTCATCTGAACTTTCTCAGGTCTGTCAAGACACGTGTTAGATGTGTGCCAGAGAGATCTGGGATGAACATACGCTGCATGCAACAAACAGCGGCTTTTCTTGACAGGAGGGGCAGACTCCATGGTTTGATTATCGGTTGTTTTGCGTTTCCGAGACGGAGGTGGGTCCTCTTGCCCCAGCCCGAGATTAACGGCTTGTTTCTTCTTCCCCTTTGTTGTCACAGTAGCCCGCTTTCGAACACCCCGTCCTTTCAAAGGACGTTCCAGCATCTCAGGAGTGGACGTTGGCTGATTCGGAGTAGAATTCGGGGGTGGCGTCGTCGATGCGTTGGGAGAGGGGGGCAGGGGTGGAGCCTCCGGAGAAGGTGCGAGTGGGGTCAACGCCTCCAGAGTGAAAGGTGGGGGTTAGGTTGCTGCCTTTGGAGTGGAAGGGACTAGGCTCGTTGATGCCGTTGAAGTGGAAGGCTGGGTATGGGTCGACGCCTTCAGAGTGGATGGCTGGGTTAGGGTCGACAACTTAGGAGTGGAAGGTGGGTTTGGAGTTAAGGTCTTCGGAGTGGAAGGCGGGTTTGGGGTTGAGGCCTTCAGAGTTGAAGACAGGGTTGGCGTCGATGACTTCGGAGTGGAAGACAAAGTTGTGGCCGATGGCTTCGGAGTGGAAGGCTGGGTTGAGGTCGATGACGTCAGTGTAGAAGGCTGGTTTGGGGTCGACTCTCTTTGGGAACGCTGGGTTGGGGGCAGAACTTTTGGTGTTGAAGGCCTGGTTGGGCTTGATGCCGCCACCTCAGGAGTGGAAGTGGTAGATGGGGGAGGCATGAGTTCTTGATTTCTGAACCGAATGGGAATGCATCTCTCTTGGAGGTCGTACAGCTCGTCGTAGAGTTTGAATATAGTCGTTCCCTTGATGACACAAGGATCGTCAATCGGGGTCTTTGGACCTTCTGACTTTGACCAGGGGGATCGGGAACGACTTTGTCTTGACTCGTTTGCCCAGATCGAAAAGTCCCTGCTTGAGGGGCTGGCCCATGATGCCTTGGCAGCTGTTCGTGAACACATCAAGCACAAAAAGGCCTACCTCCAACTGAAGGATGAGGTTATCTGCAATCAGGGAGCAAACACACGTGCACAGGGAATTCTCAAGCGTGTACAAAATCTTACGCTCACGCATGCGAATCGGTACAATTTCATTCGCGAACGACTTCTCCTACTTGGGCTCTCTGCCAATGACAGCACCTTTCAGCCCCTGTCAACGAAAGACGATCTTTGGATGTATAGCTTCAACACTTCACGTACCCGTCGTTCTGAAGGTTTGGAACCATGGTATTGGACCATGCGACCAGTTGGTAATGCCACAGACAAGGAAATGCAGGAATAGATGCTTGAAGGTTCGTTTTATGTTCTGATTGATTTACATGTGGCTCACCTAGATCCTCAGTGGATCACGTCCGATGGTTTCGTCAGCGAACCTTGCGCGATCGTCACCGTGAGGAAGCCAACATTTTGAAGGAAGAATTTGAACGAACCCTCCGATCTTTTGCTGCCATGTCAAGAGCATGGTCTCAAACCATCCAGGTATCAGAAGAACAGTCTATTTTGGGTGCCAATGCGTATGCTGCAAAAATTTCAGCCATGTATCAGGAGATGCATGAAAAGTGCAAACAGTCATATTTATTAGCAATCGGTGAACAACCGAACTGAAGTGGGCTTCACCATTCATAATACATATGATTTATATATGACGTTGCGTAGCTACACATACGGAAGCTGGTGTGGAATTAAGAGGAGGGCTGTATCATGGTTTGCAACTGGAGATTCGTCAGTGTGAGTTGCAACAAGTGATATGGACCTTACATCGGTTAAAGAACATGTGGACGTGATTGTCCTTTCCAGCTGTCATGCGCCAAATTTCCCTTGCGATTCCGAATACACACGTCAGCCCCAGCACCGCCAGCTCAATCAAGCGGAGGTCCTTCTGGGATCACTAGTATCAACCATTGTTTATGAAAAAGTCTGGGCAAGTGCCTGCACAACTTTTTGGACACTGCCTAGGTTTTTTATGAAATGAGAAATGTAGGGCAAGCATTATGAAATGTGTTTCATTCCCTCCCATAGTTGTTTCATATCTATTTTATTCCTTCCCTATACTTTTTCATAACTATTTCTTTTTTACCTGGCCATTTATTTCATTGCCCCTCAGTCTCATTTCTTTCCTGTTTCTTTGTTGCCTAGCCTTTCATTTCATTGCCTCCCCAGGGTTATTTCTTTGCTACCCAGCAATTTCTTATTGCTGCCTAGCTATTTCATTTCATGTTTGCCTGGTAATGGTTTCATTCTTTTATTTCATTCTTGCCAGGGCAATACATATTTAATTAATTATATGAAATAACAGGGCTTTAATTGTCAAATGAGTACAATATTTGTTATGCTTGCTAGTAGAGGGTGTGGGCCCCATTTCTACATAACTTTCAATTTGAGACCATAGTATGATAAGGGTGCAAAGGGATAAGCAAGGTAAAGACATTTTACAAGGCATCACATGTATTACATAATCAAGTCCCAGGAAGATATTTACAACTATGAAATGAAATAGCTAGGCAACATTAAGAAATTACTGGGTAGGGAAGAAATAATCCTGGGGAAGCAATGAAATTGCTCATTGGGTAGGAAAGAAATAAATGAAATGAATGGCCAGGTAGAAAAGAAATAGGTATGAAAAAGTATAGAGAAGGAATGAGATAGATATGAAACACTATGGGAGGGAATGAAACACATTTCATAATGCTTGCCCTACATTTCTCATTTCATAAAAAACCTGGGCAGTGTCCAAAAAGTTGTGCAGGCACTTGCCCAAATTTTATCATAAAAGTGGTAGGTACCACTCCTGGGATGCGGCTTCATGTAGTAGAGACCTGCCGGTGTTGTTGGCAAGGTAGGACAAGTCGGCGAAAGATATCGGAGAGGCTCTTTGTATCTACGTGTCGTTACTCGTTGTCGTCAACGGAGTCCTCAAGAGGTGCGCAACACCTCGCGCACCCACTCTTCTGCTTGAAGAAGGTTAGTCAATGTTTGTAGCTCTGATGGTCAAGGTGTGCACTTACAACTTGTCTCAGCAAGAGGCCGCCCTTTCCTTTCGAGGTTTTGGCCCCACGGCCGGTATACACGATTGTAGCTTCAAGCCACATAGTGAATCGTTCGGCATGTTTGTCAAGTGGAGGACGGCGGCGCGAAGATCTGTTGAAGTCGGTCATGTAATGTTAACCTATGGAGGCGTACTGACGTACCTTCATCGTTCAGCGTGTCCACCTCGCCATAATGTATGTGTCTGTTCCCCGCACTCCTGAGTCCTTTCGGCGGCGTCTACACGTTGAATTGCTCGTGTATGTGTTATCGTTCCCTTGTTTGTTTCGCGTGTCAGTTTGGCTTGTTGCAGCTAGTAAAACGGTACTCACTGGAGATGGTGAAGCTGGTCGTGCTGAAGGGCTGTCATCGAAACTCCCACAGCTGTGCCGAAGCAAACACCCGCGAAGGGACTCGGCAATACCAGAGTGCCTGTCGCGCAGTGCTGAAGCCCCAGCGAAGCCAGGAGAGTAACAAGTGGAGTCAACCTAGAGTCAACAATATTTGTAACGATTTTTCTGTCACGTGCTTCCGTTCTACCCCGTGCACTTATAAGTGTCGCATCTCAGCTTAACTTTTAACATAGCCTATGATTTCAACTTATGAAGTACCGTGTCTATTTAAGTTCGTGTTACCATGAAGTGCCCTGTACAATGAAGTTTTTTCAGGTATCAAGGGAGCCCCGTCTGTTTGGAATATTTTCCTGCTCGGATGGGACCATCTCTTGTGAGGCTTAAAGTGCCATCTAACCATGAATCCTGGTCTCTGTTGAATATCGGACAGGCGCCACATAGCTCCATTTTTCTTCTCACTTATCAAGAATATTTCGTGTAATGTGAATATTTGTGGCCATCTAATAAGCGGTGTAAATAATATTTTGATCTGAAAAAGGGGGATCTAAGCGGTATTTCAACGGTCAACCAATGATCCAAAACCAGTCGCACGTAACTCGGCTTTGGATGGTCGAAGCGCGATCCTTTGTGGATGCCATCGTTGTACTAAATAAAGATAGCAGTCAGGAGAACGGACGGCGTGCATTGAAGGGTAAATTATCCACTTTCCCGTGGGCAGGCAGGACCATACAGTGGTTCCGAGGCCGTATTTTTTGTAAAGCACACTTTACGATACTGTATTAGGGATGGGAAAGGATAGGTAAGGAAAGCTATAAAGGACTCGTATTTCTTCTCAGAAGTCAGGCCGCTCGCGGTGGAACATTGTTGACGTTGTGCTGTTATCAACGAGAGGCCTGGCCACGCTAAAATTGTTGTAAGCCATTCAATCTTCGGTGGGACTCAACGGGGTAGCAACAAGGCAGCAAGCTGGCTTTGATCTGAAATAGCGACCAACGAATTAAAATATTATAGTGATAGTAAGGAATCCTTGTTGGATGGATGGCTGACCATGGGTAATGTGGTGAATGCAGAGTACCAGAAAACACGTTTAACAATATTGTGTTCCGGCAATAGTTCTAATAGAACTCCTAGTAACGACACCTTTCACTTTAAAATAAGTATTGTCAGATACTTTTAATTGAGCCCCCCCTTTTCCGCCGACACATTTTTCGGATATGCAATGGCCTCCGGGCGTGGTCCTACACTCCTTTCTACAAATTTTACCACCCTCCAATCACTCGGATCTGGGTTCGTAATTTGATGTCTTCAGCGCGACAATAAATTTTTAGTTCATAACTGGCAGGCAGTCGTTCCAAACTTACTTATCGTGCAAGTGAGGTTTAAGTCGATTGATCTGCCAGAGACGGTTGGTTGTGTCTGGGCATTTTCCACATTGATAGATCTCTGGTGGTTCGAGTCCGACACAAATAGGCTTGCGGGGAGGGATAGGGATCCAGTTTCGCCTGTCGTATATCACATCAACGTCGACGCGAGGGGGTTGAATGGCATGCCTGAGAACCCAGAACGTCAAATGAATGTCTCCCGTAGAAATATGTAAATATGTACGGACACGTCTTTGGCGTGGCGAAGCGCTTTCGCCTTTGTCGTTGGTTCATCGTAGTGCTCGGGACAGTGGTTACAACACCAGACATCGTATTCCGGATTCGGGAAGGGTTGTTCACGCCTTTTGATACATTCCGTAGCCTCTGCCGTTAGAAGTGCCCAAGACGTAACGGAGGGGTGGAAATTTGTGTTTTCCACCCCAATGACATGAGAAATCTATCCGAATCTCAGATCAGCGCTCAGCTTTGGGTATCATCAAGATCGCACGACTTACACATTCCCTCCACGTCAAGGCCTGGCGACCAAACACTCCCCGCTTCCAAGAAGTGTTGCATCCCTCGCAGAAAAACCGCGCATCCCTCGCGTCCATATCACCGACAGTCGCTGTTTTTGGGTCCATTCCCAGAAGAACAACTAACGCGAGTGCGCTGGTTCTCCCCGCGAGACTAAATTGAAACTCGAACTGTGGACCAATGCATTTGAAATGAGAGCGCAGGTCTTTCAAGCCGATCAAGTCATCTTCACAAGAAACACAAACGAAGACATTCACAGCGAGGTCCAAATTCTGATAAGGCGATTCTAGCCTGGCATAGATATTGCTTTCATGCGTCTGCATCCAAGAATTGAGGAAAGGTGCCAAATGACTTTGTACCGTTTCCTCTTGAAGCACTCCAACTTCAGTTGAATCCGAGGCAATGAAAGCTGAAAATGGCTCCCACTCATAAACTACGCTCACCCTCGGCAAATTTGACCATGAAGTCGGAGGAAGTGTCTTTTGATAGGTGTGATACCGGTATTCCACTAACTTCTGCCTTTGGAAGATCAGAAACTGTCGCCATCGTTCCAGTCTATCAATCTTGTGTGCTTCAGAAGTCCGCAAAAGTTCAAGACCAAGCTGCTTATAGGCTTGATCGAAATGTCAGAAATGGAATATATTGTGAGAAGGGAAGCCTGAGCTTACAACGATAGTTAGATCTGAATCTTTCTCGGTTTAAATACTGATCAAGCAGCTCGCCAAATGCAGTGTCTAGGTCCACTTGATCGTGACCACGTCGTACAAGGACAGAAGCGTGGCTGATACCAAGGTCAGTCCTTGACATATCTGTTGATGAACATCAGATAAGATACCGTTTGAGCAATTGCATTATGTTGTCTTGGTGTTCCTTCTTAAGCCGACGGCTCATCTGGACCATCATTGCATTGGCCCTCTCCGATTCCTGTCCATCAACATCAGCAGAGCGTGTTTAATGATAAAGTATATATATCACCTCAATCCCTCGAATCACATTGTCGGATTTCAGGGATAAAAAATTCTCAAACTCTAAGGATGCACTGGCAATGCCAGAAGAGATTCTCGAGCTGAAAAAGCGAAAGTGATTAACCATCTTGCTGATATCCCACCTCAGATATCTTGGCCTCCGGTAATAGTCCTCCATATTTGAATAAAACGTTTGATCTAGTTTCAGCATTTAATAATGAGATCATCATGAGGCAGAAGGAAAATTACCTTGCCGATAAGAAGGAGGAGTACATATCAGGAATGTATCTAGATCTTCCCCAATCCCAAGGCAATTCACGTCAATGCTAGACTTCTCAACATACATATCATCCTGCGTGATGGGAAAGCACCATCAAGTAAGTCGGAGACATCACTCAATATATCATCCGCTCACCATACAGAGCTGGCAAAAGCGGTGTCGAAAATGAAAATCAATCATGGCGCCCTTCCGCCCGCAATACTGTCCCAACAAATCAGCATTTATAAAGACCATAGTGAAACAGCCTACATCACACGTCGCCGGGCCAAACAGCATCGATGCCCATTGCGGTTCAGATATGTCCAGAGGACATGCCGGAAGAACATCATAACACCTCTTGAACGCTTCCTTCCAGACGGACGATGCCCTCCGATCCAAGAGCATACTCCTCAGCCTCTTCGTTGAGCGTATAACGGAATAAAGGTCGATAGGATGGAGGAATTGAAAGATCTACGTTGACACGTGGCTCAGTAAATGGGTTGACAGGGCGAGAATCTAAGGCATAAAGACGGACCTCGAGAAGAAGTTCAATGGGGAGATCCAGAACACATGATATGTCTACAACGATCGTTCTTGAAGCCTTGATCTCCGCCCTCCTCCGGCGCTTTATCGCAGCCGCGAACCAATTGCCTGAGACAAGGGTGATGAGTGTGTTCTGTACTCCTTATTTTCTGCTTCCCGCAGAACTCACCATTCTTGAAATATGGATTAACACCAGACTCTCTCTCGAATGGAATAACCCGCTTGTATATTTCATCAAGCTCACTAGCACTCTCAAGATCGTTGAATGGCAGAATCCCAGGATTTAAAAGGGTCATGGTGAATTCGTCGACGAATGTACCGGACAAGTTTTGAGAGTTGGGCGTCGAAAAGTCAAGGGCATTCTTCGGAGTGACATTGACAGATCTGTCACCTTCAAGTTGACGCCCCGTGACTCGGAATGTTGGCCGAGCTGACCGCCAACCTTTGGCCACGACAACTTGAACGCGGTAATACGCTATCTTTACCACCACTAGATCCACTAATCAATCGAAAGCTACATCCTTACTTCGCATCTTCCGTTATCCCGTGAGCGAACCGCTGGCAAGGCAGGACAATGCGGTGGTGCGGAGGCCGTCTTTTTTGTACAGCGCACTTGAAGATAGTATTGAATTAGGGTTTGGAGAGGATCAGGGAAAGTATATAACGCACTGGTATTCCTTCTCGGGTCGCTCGCGGTGGAACATAAGGGCACTGCTCAGCAATCGAGTCATTTCTCTCAGCTGCCCCCCAAAACGACTGGACGCTCTCGAGTACTGCGGTAACGGTACGTCATTCTCCTGTAGTACCGTTCCCCTTCCGTCGTTGGTATACGCGTGTTTGCACTTCCATCCACTTACCAACGATGATGACGCGAAAACTTCAGGTCAGGCGATGTGGAGAGGAACGACGACGATGCGTGAATAGTAAGTAAGCTGTGTTTACGTTGATAAGTGCAAGGGAATGACGATCAACTCAAGGTCAACTCAGAAAGTTTGAGTTTTCATTATTCAACAATCACTACATTTCGACAGCGTCGCGCCGGATAGTCCAACGGAAGGTGGTGACGACCACGCGAGGGATAGCGATCGAAGGCAATGTTGTGGATTTGAGAGGATGGTGGCTGATTGGTGAAGGACGGACGAAACGTTGACAAGAGCTGGACATTGGGTAAGTCATCTACAACCCCATAATCATTGTTGCCATCCACTTACCTTTCATTACAAGTCGCGACGACTGTCCAGATTGCAAAAACAAAACAACTCTACTCCGACGTCTGAAGAGCGTACGGGACGGTGGCGCAGTGCGAGAACGTGGGCGTTGTCGTTGGAAAGAGTGACACGGATGGCAGCAGAGCAGGAAGCTCTGCTTTAACGTTCGGTAAGTCGTCCACAGCACCATGCGACCATTGAAACTCACGAACCTTTGTAGAATCGGTTCAATCACAAAGAAGATTGCGATCTTTGGCTTCAAAGCAGGTAAGTCAACGCCGTGACTGTTAGTGGAGAATTTGACGTGGTTCATGGCCAGAACCTTCCCAACTTCTGAGTCCACGATCGCACGCTCTTCTCGGCCAATACACAACTTCAGCGGTGGCTTGGCAAGGGGTGATGAGTGAGGGAGATGACGTGGAGGGCATGATGACTGACTGCTGAAGGACGCACGATACGTCGACAAGAGCCATTGGGACATTGGGTGAGGCAGTGCGAGAACGTGGGCATGACATTGGCTTTGCGGATGGGCGGCAGAACGGGAAGATCCCCTTTCGCGTTCGGTAAGTGGTCTTCAGTATCATTCAACTATTAAAACTCACCAACCTTTTATCGAACCACACCAATTGCAACGAAGCCGCCATGCGTTTTACAGCACCCTCCCGAAATGTTGCGGTGAAGGGGATTGACAGCGAGCACTTACTGTCGCAGGGTAAGCAGCCGTTCTCAAAGACAGGAATCGAAAGTGACGTACCTTCAGCGTGAACGCATACACTGACGAAGAAGCCGCTCCCCCGACTGAACTTGAACGTCAAGTAAGTTATCTTCGTGATGTGCGGGTTAAACGACAATACTCACTCGACATTGAGAACACCCAATAAAGTCGTGAAACGGCGAGCGAGCGTATGTAGAAGGCGGGGAGGTCAAGCAGAGAGGGGACACTCGCTGTGGGCGACATCCAAGGCGACGCAAATGACTGCGGAGGATATCAGCGACGACAGATCACATGGCAAACGAAAACGGCTTACCGACCGGAGACGAGCAAGATGGAGTGAAAGGCATCGACGTTGAGGAGGAGGCGGAGAGGGTAGGTGGGCGCATACATTGACGAAGCTACTGGAAACGTCGTGGTGTGTGTGTTATATGACGACACTGACCTGATATGGAAAACATCCAATAGAGTCCTGAAACGACGTGCGAGTGTATCAGAAAAGCGGGGAGGTGAAGCAGATGGGGGACTCACCGCGGCATCGCAGACAATAAAACCCAATGTGAATGGAGAGGGCTTACTGACCGGGGCTGTGGAGCGAAAGACGTCGACGTCGAGAGGGAAGAGGAGGAGAAGGAGAGGCTAGTAAGGTAAGCAGCTCTATTGAATCATATCGAAAATAGAGCTAACCCATCCCTTGTATACATTCAGGAAAGTAGTACACATGGGTGACCACCGTAGCCAGAGTGATTACGCGATATCAACAAATTATTCCAGGGTCCGTTTAAGATCAGTGGATTCACAATTTCAGGAATTTGACGCGGAGGAACGGTCCAGGTAAAATCGGAGCTAATCGCTTGAACTGTTCGCTTGTTCTCTGGACACGTCGAGGACTTTGTTGTTGAGTTGGGTTCTTTCAACCTCGAATGTCCTTTTGAGTGCACACGAATTAGAGGTTGTATGTATTACTCGGTGCTTCGAATTCGGGAGGCATTTCTACATACATGTTCATTATAGAAAACAGTGGAGAATAGTCAACTAACAGAAATCAGGCGCGGCATGCGATCAATTCACAGTGCATCAGTAGTACCATGATAGTCACATAAAAAAGAGGGGAACTTTACAGTATTTATGGACATTAGCACTTGAGCATTCGTCAGACATCTGTAAATGAGCCCTACATTTGCGGATATGCGGTGGCCTCCGAGTGTGGTCCTACACTCCTTTCTACAATCTTCACCACCCTCCAATCATTCAGACCTGGGTTCGTAATTTGATGTCTTCAGAGCGACAATAAATTATCAATTCATATCCACTTGCAGGCAGTCATACCAAACTTACTTATCGAGCAAATGAGGTTTGAGGCGATCGATCCGCCAAAGACGGTTGATTGTGTCTGGGCATCTTGCACATTGATAGATCTCTGGTGGTTTGAGTCCGACACAAACAGGATTGCGGGGAAGGATAGAGATCAACTTTCGCCTGTCGTATATCACATCAACGTCGACCCGAGCGCGGTGAATGGAATGCCTGAAAACCCAGCACGTCAAATGTATGTCTCCCGTAGAAATAGATATACGGACACGTCTTTGGCGTGGCGAAGCGCTTTCTCCTTTGTTGTTGCTTTGTCGTAGTGTTCAGGGCAGTGGTTACAACACCAGACATCGTACTCTGTATTCGGCCAGCGTTCTTCATGTCTTTTGATACATTCCGTAGCCTCTGCCGTTAGGAGCGCCCAAGACGTAACGGAGGAGTGGGATTTCACTTTCTCCACATCAATGACATGAGAAATCTATCCGAATCTCAAATCAGCTTTGGGTATCATCAAAATAGCACGACTTACACATTCCCTCCACTTCAAGGCCTGGCGACCAAGGACTCTGCGGTCCCAAGAAATGTCGCATCCCTCGCAGAAAAACCGCGCATCCCTCGCATCCAGATCATTGACAGTCGCTGTTTTCGGGTCCATTCCCAGAAGATCAACTAACGCGAGTGCGCTGGCTCTGCCTGCAGAGCTGAATCGAAACCCAAACTGTGGACCGATGCATTTAAAATGAGAGCGCAGGTCTTTCAAGCCGATCGGGATTGAAGCGTGGCGTCTGTTGAAGCGACCTTCGCAAGATGCACAAACGAAGACATTCACAGCGAGGTCCATGTTCTCATAAGGGGCTTCTAGCCTGGCATAGATATTGCTTTGATGTGTCTGCATCCAAGCATCGAGGAAAGGCGTCAGGTGACTTTGTACGGGTTCCTCTGGGAGCACTCCAACCTCATTCGATTCCGAGGCAATGAAAGCTGAAAATGGCTCCCATTCATAAACTACGTTCACCCTCGGCAAATTTGGCCATGAAGTCGGAGGAAGTGTCTTTTGATAGGTGTGATACCGGTCTTCCACTAACTTCTGCCTTTGGAAGATCAAAGGCCGTCGCTCTTTTTCCAGTCTGCCAATCTTGTGGGCCTCGGAAGCTCGCAGCAGTGCAAGAGCAAGCTGCTTATAGGCTTGATTCAAATTTCAGGAATGGATTATATTGTAAGAAGAGAAGCCTGTGCTTACAATGATAGTTAAGTTTGAATCTTTCTCGGTTTAAATACTGATCAAGAAGCACGCCAGATGCGACATCTAGATCCACTTGATCATGACCGCGTCGTAAAAGGACAGAAGCATGGCTAATATCAATGTCAGTCCTTGACACCTCCGATGATGAAGGTCAGATGAGATACCGTTTAATCAACTCCTTCATGTTGTCCTTGTGTCCCTTATAACTTGATGGCTCATCTGGACCATAATTGCATTGGTCGCCGCTGATTCCTATCCATCAACGTCAGCAGAGTGTATTTCATGAGGAGTGTATATATCACCTCATTGACACGAATCACATTGGCTGATTCCAAAGATATAAAATTCTCAAATTCTAGGGATGCACCGAGGATACCAGAAGAGATTCTCGAGTTGAACAAGAGAAAGGAAGTAATCATCTTGTTGATATCCCACGTCAAATATCTTGGCCTCCGGCAATGGTTATTGTGGTAAAACCTTTGATCTAGTTTCAGCATTTAATGATGAGACCATGTCATGAAATAGAAGGAAAGTTACATTCGCGATAAGAAGGAGGGATGCATTTCCAGAATGTTTCTACATCCTCCCTGACCCCAAGGCAATTCACATCAATGCTAGACTTCTCAACATACATATCATCCTGCGTAATTCAAAAGCACTCCAAGTAAGTCAGAGACATCACTGAATATATCATCCACTGACCATACAGCACTGGCAAAAGCGGCGTCGAAAATGAAAATCAATCATGGCGCCCTTCCGCCCGCAATACTGTCCCAATAATCAGCATTTAGAAACACCATAGTGGAACAGCCTACATCACACGTCGCTGGGCCAAACAGCATCGAAGCCCACTGTGGTTCAGAGATGTCCAGAGGACGCCGCGGTAGAACATCAGAACACCTCTCGAACACTTCCTTCCAGATGGATAACGTTCTCCGATCCAAGAGTATACTCCTCATCCTCTTAGTCGAGCGTATAACGGAATATAGGTCCATAGGATGGAGGAATTGAAAGATCTAGGTTGGCATGTGGCTCAGTAAATCGGTTGAAAATCCTGAGGCGTAAGGACGAACCTCGAGAAGAAGTTCAATGGGAAGATCCAGAACAAATGATCTGTCTACAGAAATTGGTCTTGAAGCCTTGATCTCTGCCCTCCTCCGGCGCTTTATCGCAGCCGCGAACCAATTGCCTAAGACATGGGTGATGAGTATGATCTGTGTTCCTTATACCCTGCTTCGCAACTTACCATACTTGAAATATGGGTTAAAAGAGCCCTTGAATCGCACTGGATTAACCCGCTCGTAGATCTTATCAAGCTCACTGGCCCTCTCCACGTCGTTAAATGGCAGAATACCAGCGTTGGGAAGAGTCATGGTGAATTCGTCGACGATTTCTTCGCACGTCATCATTTGGGGAGCAGAGTTTTGAGAGTTGGGCGTCGAAAGCAAGGTCGAAAGTCAAGGACTGAGTGTCACATCTGTCACAATCGGCTTTGACGCGTGACTCGGAATGCTGACCAGTCTTCATGACCACCTTTATCGGACAGAGCACTCGGGAGAAAAACTTACATAAATTGAGGCAAGCTTAAAAATCCGTTCTAGGTGTTACACGGACGTGAAGATAGGGAGGAATGTGAGTGTATGCGCGAAAAAGCGCATAATGGATGGGTAGAAAACTCCGTGAATTATCCCCTTCTAGAGTACGAAACTAATACCTAGGCGGTCTGTATTTCAACCACCAACGGTGACTTCGCACCCTTCCAGACATACCACCTCTCAAATTCTTCCAAACCTATCCAACAACGGTCGTCCGTAACTCGGCTTAATAAATCACACATATGGTCAACTCCAAGTCAAAAAGTCAAAATAAATACGTACAGCATCTTCAGGTGCATTGCCCAAAATCTTCTCAATCTTTTCCAAAACCTCTGGCGTCAACTTTGGGATCACCTCAAGCGCCTTGAGGTTCTGCGTGACCTGCTCAGGACTCGACGCGCCGAGAATGACGGTGGACGTGTTCGGGTTCTTCGCGACCCATGCGAGTGCCAGGGCGCTCACGGTCGTGTTGAGTTCTATTGACCCCGTTCCAAATTGACGTCGAAAGATTTAAATGGGAGAGACCGACCTTCCTCCGCCAACTTGGTCAATTCCCTTACTTTACGCAGCTTCTCTTGGCCTTCGGGCTCTTGCAACTTCTTCACTGTTTCTTTGAAGAACTCGGAGTTGGCGTCGAAGCGTGATCCTTTGGGAATGCCGTCGTTGTACTGGATAAAGATGGCGGTTAGAAGACGGACGACGTGCATTGAAGGGGGGGGAATCATCCACCTTTCCCGTGAGCAAACCGCTGGCGAGGGAGGACCATGCGGTGGTGCCGAGGCCGTATTTCTTGTAAAGCGCACTTGAAGATAACGTATTAGGGTTCGGAGAGGATCAGGAAAATCATATAACGCACTGGTATTCCTTCTCAGGCCGCTCGCGGTGGAACATACTACAAGAAATCAGGATTCCGTCGACCGCAAAAAAAAAACATGAAAGCATACTTGTGCTGGCACTGCTCAGCAATCGGAGCAATCAAGTTCAACTTGCTAGCAATATCTATACGCACATATGGATAACTCGGTCACCAAGTTCTACCAAAGCAAAGTAAGCAATCTGTACTCACGATGAGCTTCTTCAATCTCGCGTGCACTCCATTCCGATGTAGCCCAATAAAACGCCTATGATCCATAAGAACCTAAATTAATGCGCCATTAGGGCAATAAGACGTACCCATCCTTTCTCAATAACGAAGTTAAAAGCACGGACAATCTCCTCCATCGGAACTATAACTCAACATCAATCACTAAACGCTACACATATATGCGCACTTACCAGTATGATCAGGACGATGCGCAAAGATAACATCAACATAATCCAACCCCAAACGCTCCAAAGACTCCTTGGTACCTTCAACAATACTTCACATCCTCACCATCAGCCTCCTCCTCTTATCCGAGAAAAACAGCAAGTAAACACGCACTGTTTCCTCGAAAGCCCACTATCATTCGGGCCCTTCCTCAATCCCCAGAATAGCTTAGTAGTAATAACGAGATCGGTACGGCGAAGTCCTAGCTCTCTGATAACGCGGCCCCTATACAATGTTATCAATCACAAGGAAACAAACAGAGGCGATCACGGAAAAGAAGGATACGAACATCTCCAACTCAGATTTCCCAGCCGCATATGCCTCAGCAGTATCGAACATGTTGATGCCCGCGTCAAACGCAGTCTTGATGATATCCTGTACACCATGGCCATCGCGTTACTTCAACTTCAACACCGGAAAAGCCGGAAGAGCGAGCGAACCTTTACGGGATCGCCGACAACGGTGGCTCCCAACGTTAACCCTGATTATCGATCGCATACATTAAGTATCCCATCGATCGAAAGCAAGTCCAAATTTTGAACATACATCCACCCAGAGAGAACACAGGCACACGCAATCCGCTAGATCCCAGTCTACGGAAAGGCATATCCTTGGGGTCGAACTCCAATTTGACTTCTGTGGCCGACATCGCTTTGAGGACTTCGTTACGGTAAGAGCGAGGTAGAGTTCCAAAGAAGAGGGTGGTTTGTTTATTGCGAAGCGAAAAACGCTTGCTTATATATACACTAGGTAATCATCGAGTGCGCCATATGGTGGACAGTGGATGTGACCGAGAGTGACCGTTTTCAGAAACCGATCAAAGATATTGAACCAATTATAGCATGCGCTGACACATTTGCCAGATAGCTGACCCGTGTGGGAGCGGGTAGATAAGATGATCTATACCCGGTGACAGAGGCATGGTATGTGATGGCGAGCGAGGCCGACGTAGATGAGGGGAATGGAAGACAACAGCTCATAGCTTTACCCTCGTAGTTAGGGAAGGCAACTGTATCTATAGCTGGCGAAGGAACCTTGCGGAATTATTGGCAATCACTTCAACTGTGGTGCGACTCAAAGAAAAAGAGGAACGAGGGCCAAGGACGAAATGGAACAACTATATCATTAGTGCACCGACATAAGATATACATACAGGAGAGTCCGAACACTTCAAATAAAATCAATCGCAATCGACTTCGGGCAAATTGGTGCCATCAATCAAGTACAAGTCGCCATTCAAACCCTAGCAGACCAAAGTCAGACGAGGGCGATAATAGAAGGAAGTAACGCACCTCTCGTTTATCCAAAATACGGATACCATCTTCCAGGGTTACACGGCTCCACTCTGGCCCTTTGCCGTCATTCTTCGATATGGGTGTAAAGGTGACAGACTTTCCGCGCAGCAGAGTCTCATACTGCGAGTCCAAAGATATAGGTGCTTCCTACAGATACAAAGGATCAGTTCCGTAGCAAGAACTTCAAATTGTAACGTACCGGGATGACATGTGCAGAAACCCAATGCTCAACATTACTCTTCGACCGACTATCAAACTCCTCTTCCGAAATCTCCACCCCATCATCAACGTCATCCAGTCCTTGGTGCCTAAAATCGACAACCAACGCATCAATACCACATCTTTCAGAAGAAACGAAACGAAACGTACGGTTTCCTCGCCAGCGCCATAACAGCCTTATTCGTCGGGACCAGCAAGGTCAACTTGAGCCTCCCATCCGAGAGCATGGAGCTCATCTCCAGCTCCCTTGCATAGCTGTAAAAGATGGACGCAGAGGGCTCGAGGGTGAGCAGGTCCGCGAGGGTGGGTTTGCTGCTTGTGGTGGGTTGGCTTTCGGTGTGCATGGCGACTTGCTCTGCCTGCGATGCGAAGGTGGGTGTGAGGAGGGCGAGGACGAGGAGGAGAGAGGATATGGAAGGGAGATACATGGCTGGAGTGGGATTAGACAACGTTCGACTTCGGGCGCACTGATGGTGGTGTTCGGTAAATGCCGGATGCTCACTGCTTTTTCTCACTGTCTGCTGCGAAAGGGGAAGATTTCAAGGCAAGGCAAAACGTGCTGAACGACGCGCAGACTTTATAGTTGAATTCTGGTGGAAACTACCTTCAAGACTGAGAACCATGGAAATAACCCATAGATTTTTCCAGGGAACTGATGAACGACGAACAATAGACACGAGATTCAGTTCGTCATGGGGCATGAGGGACTTCCTGATTGGAGAGGGCGGTAAGTCGTTTACTTTGCACTTTGTCGCGGTTTCGTCGACCAGAGGTCGTCGCATATCTAGGGTCTACCATGGGCGCTGCCGATTGGGCAGTGCAGGGTCCTGTCCACCCGTGAACTCCGTTCTGTGCGGGATACCACAAACTAGACCTGCAATTGTCAAAAATCCACCTCGAATCTGCCCATCTCTGTTGCACCATGACTCGCTTCGATGACTTACCACCCGAGATCCAAGATGCCATGTCTACCCCCTTTCACAACATCCTCCCGCCCACAGATCCCCAAGCAGCCACTGGCACCTCCATCCAGGGCGGTCTCTACCTTGGCTCTCTCTCCGCCGTCGTAGACCCATCCGTCGACGACCTCCGCCACCTCAACATTACGCACATCGTCCAAGTGTTCAACGTCCCCTGGCTTGTGCTCACGGAGGAAGAAGGCTTCACGTGCTATCGCGTCGATATCGAGGATGTGCCCACGCAGAAGTTGGATACACAGCTTCTGGAACAGGTCTGTGCCAACATTGAGGAGACGAGGAAAGGTGGGAAGAGCGTTTTGGTACATTGTCAACAGGCGAGTTTTGTTTTTTGTAGAGTTTTTTTGTTCCTACATACTGAAAGAACGTTGTATGTTACAGGGCGTATCCCGCAGTGCATCTATAGTCATCGCGTATCTCATCCGCAACCATCATATGACGTACGACGAGGCCTTCAAGTTCGTCAAGAGTAAGCGGGCATGTGTGAAGCCGAATCCAGGCTTTGTCAGGTGTTTGCGGGCCTGGGAGGAGAAGTGGAGGGTGCCAGCTTCGTCACAGATCGATGATGGTGAGCCAGCTGATCAGGGTACAGGAGGAGGGGGAGGCGGACAACAGGAAGGAGAACACTAGTAAAGAGTGTAAAAATGCAGATGGATTCAGATAGGATTGACGTTCTGGTTATGCGGTTCATGGGTACTAGATGGTCAGTTTATCGAGGTATTCTGTGCCCCTCTTTGAAATCCACGGCCAGTGTATTTAGCGTTGGCGTTGCGTCGAAGGGGTCGTGTCAAGCCACCGCCCCCATTCTCACAACTGGCAAGAAATTCCAAGGGTCTTCTTGGTAACTCAACCTCTGCGGTGTGCTGCGCGTCGTCTGGCGTTTTGAGGGAGACGGAGTTGAGGTAGAGACTGTAGAGTTGAGGCGAGGAATTTGGTGCGGCGTCCCATTCCTCGCTATCACCTGCACCTCACGAGGCCCCCTTTTTATAATTGAGGTTTTCGGCAGAAAATCAAAAGTGTTCAAGAATGCCTTGTAAATTGATTGTCACGATTTTTGAGACCTTTTCACACACAAGGTAGCCTTACATTCAGGGATACATCTTGAAAACATCCGGAAATTTCTGAACTCCCAGATAGATCGACGATGAAGAGTCCTCAATGTTTTCGAGCATCCTATCCACATGGGATTCCGAATTGGAGAGAGGGGGGTAGCGAGTGAGTGTTCAAATGTATTATATGGTGCTCCTGAGATGCAGTAATATGCATGGTGGTGGGTGCGATCTTGAAAGTCCCCGCAGTGGGCGTGATTCTAGAATTGATGGACAGCTGTAGATGCAAAACTGCTGTGTTTCGACTCAAAGAGCAAGGACGAAATAGAACAACTATGTATATCATTAGTACATCAACCAACATAAGATATACATGGGAGTGGGGAGCGGCAACGCCTGCAAAATCAGCGTGACGCTTGTCCTTGTTTGGCTCCCACCAAACTTTACATCTCGGATGTATTAAGGTCTTCGCAAAGTGGTTTGTTGGATCGTTTGGATTGTAGAGGGTCCGCCCAGCACTTTCACGTCTCTTCGAAGTAGTAAAAAATGTAAATTACATGACTAGGATAAATGTTTAGTAGGCGAGTTCCATATCTGCGTCGCTATCAACATCAGAATCACTACTTGGCCTGGGGTGTGTGTAATTATTTTGTTCTAGTGTAAGCTCGGGTGAGCCCAATTGTTGTGCGGCCTTCGCAATGCGAATGAGATGGCGTTCGACAGCTTGAATTAGTGCTTGAACCTTGAGTTCCTTGTTTCCCAACCGCGCTTTGATAGGAACCTCCTTATCGAGCCGCCGAAACCATCCAATCTCCAAATCCAGACTGGCATTTGTTCCCGGTGAGGACTTGATGATTGCAATGTCAAGCCGACACACCACCTTGTCAAGCTCATTGTTGACCTTAAGGAGATGGTTATCGATTGGGAAGTGTTTCGCGTGAAAATGTCGCCAGTAACGCGTCGTATTGTACGTGCGCGACGGAGGACGACAATCTAATTTATGTGCACGTGATTGTAAATAAGCCAACCTGTCGAGCAACTGTCGAGAACCGCTTGTGGCTCAATCGGTACAGGTAAGGCCTCAATTTTTCGGGAAAACACAAGTGGAAGATGCGAAACGGATCGACTATTTGACAAATTCTGGAATATATGATTTTCAAAATTTAGTTCAGAGGAGACGAGAGTGCAACACCAGATTGAAACAATATATTAAACATCAGGGAAATAGATAATCCTACATACCATAAAATGATTGAAATCTCTACTTTGTTTTTATCTCAAGTGTGCTGTGGAAGGAGAGCCCGAGGACGACCACCAACAAGTCGCGCTTAGCCATTACCCGAACCGGAACAGGCGTGTGGGACAATTACGGCGGAGTTGAATTTCTCCTGATGCATTGCCGCCCCCCAATGGGAGGGAGTCTGGAACATTTAAGTCGGAATGCGATACCTCGGGAGAAATAGTGCCATCAATCAAGTACAAGTCACATTCAAACCCTAGAAAACCAAAGCTTAAACGACGGCAGAAAAAGGCGACAAGAGCAGGAAGCAGCGCACCTCTCGTTTATCCAGAATCCGGATGCCTTCTTCCAGTGTTACACGGCTCCACTCTGGCCCTTTACCGTCATTCATCGATATCGGTGTGAAGGAGATCAAATTTCCACGCAGCACAGTCTCATACTCCGGATCCCAAGATATAGGCGCGTCGTACAGATACGCTACATTATGTAAGTCTCCATACACCAAACAAGTTGAACGTACAGGAATGACGTGCACAGAAAACCAATGCTCAACATTGCTCTTCAACCGACTATCAAACTCCCCTTCCAACATCTCCACACCATCATCAACGTCATCCATTCCCTGGTGCCTAAAATCCAAAACCAATACATCAATACCATCTTTGGAAACCCGAAAGAAAGAAGTAACGAAACGCACGGTTTCTTCGCCAACGCCATGACAGCCTTATTCGTCGGGACCAACAAGGTCAACTTGAGTCTCCCATCCGAGAGCATAGAGCTCATTTTCAGCTCCCTTACATAGCCGTAGAAGGAGGGCTCAAGCGCTCAAGGGTGAGCAGATCCGCGAGGGTGGGTTTGCTGTTTGTGGTGGGTCGATTTTCGGTGTGCATGGCGACTTGGTCTGCCTGAGATGCGAACGTGGGTGTGAGGGGGGGGGAGGAGGAGGGAGGGTATGGAAGGGAGATGGCTGAGTGGCGGGCCAGTGTTTGGGCGCACGGACGATGCTGTTCGGTAGATGCCGGATGCTCACTCCCGCTCGCTGTTTGCTCGCTGGAGGAGAAGACTAGGAGACTGAACGACGCCCATACTCTCCATCATTGAATTCTGGTGAAAACTATCTTCAAGACGTGGGGCTTTCATTGCGCCCACTATCTACAGATGGCATCCAGAATTGGCACCTCTCACCCAAACACACGATGGTTGAAGGCGGACTGGCGTTGACAACAAGCTTGGGCAGGAACTTATTGCCAACAGGTGGGGAAATCCCTCGGCTTCAGAATGCACCAAGGCGCATCTGAGAACCATGGAAATGACCTATAGATTTTTCCGGCAACGGACGAACGACAAATGCGCATCCACCGACCAGCCACGGCAAAGCGACGGAACCGACGGGATCATAATAGACTCAACCAGATTTAGTTTGCCATGGCAGAAGGGACTTTGATGGAATTCCGGATTGGAGAGGGGCGGTTAGGGGTCGTAAGTCGATTACTTTGCAACGAATAATCTTGATTGCTAATGTGGAAAGTCGTCGCACCAGGGAGTTGGCACGAATCTTGAAGCTCAGTTCGGAGGAAGCCTATTGCCAACTACGTCGCAAACTAGGGCCCAATATTACCGAATGCATACTTATCTCCACCACGACACAGACGATCCAAGCGACACCCCAATCTTCACAGGGCCCAGCGCGATGACTGAATATTATGCCTATGACAGAGGGTTGAGTCAATCAGGGCTCGGCGCATATCTAGGGTCTACCGACCGGCCATTTATCTCCTGTGAACACTTCATGTCCTGGACTCACCGCACCCTTTTTGGTCGTCTAAAGAGATCATCAACCTGAGAGCTGTGTTTTGGAATCAGAACTTTCTCGTCGTCTTCTCCGGTTGTGAGTACTTCCCATTGACAAACGATCTTTCTTATTTTCGAAAGCTGCCTGGGATTGCTGCCTTCAGCTTCGACAACAGCACAAATCCCAAGAACAACGCAGATCAAACGGGGTAGTAGACTCGCTCCCGTGAGGAACGCGCCCTACGGAGTGGGTATGTGCATCAAGACTTGATCAACTGACCTACTTTTGCTTGCCATCGATAAAAGCTGTTACTGGGAGACCGTGTGTCAGATAGGTCGGTGGTTGTAGGATTGACTGCACATCAACGTTCCTCCTAGTGAATGGCTATTTTCAGTAATGGAGGAAAGGGATCGCCTCGTTTCTCTCCTTGATGCTACACGAGGCTTCCTGCTGCTGTTGTTGGTTTTGAAATTCTGGTTGTATTCTGCGTCAGGGCATGGGAGCGATACTCTGACTCACTTTTATGATGCCGATTACATCCCATCAAGCTATGACCTATTACCGGACAACTGTGGACTTTGAGCAAGTAGCTCTTAATCCGCTGTTATCGCGCCAAGTCAACGCTCCAATTGGATGGCTGCCTCGCGTCATTGCTGTTCATCGTCGCATCCGAGTCATTTGGCAGCGGTTTCACCTTCACTCTCCGCATCAAGGAATCCGGAGATATGTCGCAAATAAGCTGGGTGGCACTGTACTTCATTGGCTCTCGAAACCAACTTGTTCTCATTCTCCCGATGAGGGATGCTTGTCAGTGTGGTCTAAGTAAGTCATTTATTTGAGGTGATGGACCACCCGAACAAAGCCATACATTGTCCTTACCAGTAAGTTTTTCACGGATGGCTGTTATTTCGCGCGTGTTGCGATCGCAACAAATTCTAGCCCCCTTGAATGCTCCAGTATAAAAGAAGAGCATCTGTACAAGTCGATCATGATCTTCCTTGGGACATGAGGCCTGAGACTTCCTTTTGATAAATACCGAGTCGAGTCACTGTCTGGATGCAGTGAGGCCAGGAAAAAATGTTGCAATGACCCGGGGCTGTTACCCCTATGTATTCGATGATCTCGCGAAGGGAACGCTCCGGTTGGTTGAAAGACTCCTTTACGACTCCAACTCCCAGTGACGGCATCAATGATAACGCTTCTTCGGCTCTAGAATTGAATTTGGCTTCCTGAGCAAGGTCTTAGGTGGTCCATTCCACATTGTTCACCGAGGTGATGGATTACAACAGAAAAGTTACGGTGTTGCAATGGACCCACAAACATTCACCGATCATTTTCGGAAGAACCTGGCAGTCAGATGTCTCTGCAATCCATGCGCCTTCTCCCAAAACCATGCCTCCCGCGCCGCACTTTCTTAGCTGCTTCCTTTCCTCTCAAACTCGAATGCCCTCATGGAATGTCTTTTGGAGGTGCGTTCTTTGCTTCTCGCTTGGTTTCAAGGAACTTAAACTTTTTTTAGGAGCTCGCATTTCAGAATGAACCCCGAATCTTTCAAAATTTCATCGCGTACGCTTGGCGTACGCATATTTTTTTTTCTTGACTGCTTACGAACCACTACGTATCCGATGTTTCGTTAGCACGGCTTTGCTAATCAGCATCTGGCCGCTCCTGGACTCATTATTTTATCCGTGCAGCGTAGGCTTGAGAGCTTGACCTGCTTGACCAGGTCACGTACTCAATCCAGGGGCTGTGTTTTGGAGTCGGAGCGTTCCTGTCGTCAAGTACTTCTCGATCGCAAATAATCTATTTTTAGAGACTAGTAGTGAAGCCGTATCTTGGTTCACGTAGAGAGTTGTTTGGAAAGTTTCTGCCTTCAACTCCAAGTCCGACGTCGGGGAAAATCAGAATGCTAGTCACTCAGACAGGTCAAGCCCTGATCAAGACCGCTTGCTCCGACCTCTGGCCCATCCATCGATAATTGATGCTATTCGGACTTCCGTTGGACGGTTCATCATATGTCAAATAATTCGGTGGCTTTAGAATTGGTGGGCCGGTATATTATTGGCTCACACCCAACTCAGCTGTTTTTGGCAGTCATAAAGGAAAGGGACCTCCTTGTTCCTCTCTAATGCTGTCTTCTTTCTATAAATTCTGGCGCAATTTTTATTCTGAGGGCATAAGGAGAGTATTTTGACCCACTTTCATACATACCGATGATTGTAACAGACTTTGGGCCCCTTGAACGCAAAATGTTAAAAGAAGGAAACCTGCACAAATCGAGTATGATCTCTTGGGGCTTGACACCACAAGGCTTCCTTTTCAAAAATTCCGATCAGGTCAGGAAAAGCTGTTGCAGCCATCCATTACCCCGAATGCTGACAATAATTCTACAGCTTTTATCGGATGGTTCTGCCCCACCTATTTACACGCCAATCTGCCGGACCCCAGTCCTATTTGATTGTAAAAAATTTACTGAGTCAAAACGATGAAGAACTTGATATGTCCATTTTAACCGGTGAAAATTTTATTTTACTTTGTATAAGTAGCCAATAAATGAGTGGGCTTTGACCAAGGTGAGCTGGGTGTAGACTTACTGTAATGTCAATATAAGAAGCTTGCCAGTAGGATGCTCTGCCATGCAGCGTTGTGTCGTCGCTAAAAGGCCTAGTATTTTACTCGAGGAGATGCGTCAGCCGGAACTTTATTGAAGAAGCCCGCATTTTTTCTGCGGCTTCAATTGAAATGAACCAGAACGCGAGCCTGTCTTTTGTTTGGATGGGCGTCAGGAAGTAGCCCCTTTGAAAAAAAACACCGAACTATTTTCCTGAACTGACAATGCCCACAAGTGGCTACCACCTTTATCATAAAACTAAGGCACTTGCCTGTAGAGCTGTGTGTATAAGTCCACAAGTTTTATGAAAGGCCTTTCATAGGTGTGTCCTGTGTCTTTCTTTCATAAAGGCTATGTTCTTCTCATAAGATATAGGCAAGGCCACAGAGTGCTTTTCATAATTAAACCTGTGCGCTTTCAATAGGTATTTCATTCACTGGGTTAGGTGTATTCATTGCCTTTTTCATAATTAATGGTGTGCACCTTCATTGAATATTTCATTAGGAATTTTGGGCGCTTTCATTGCTTTTTTCATAATTAATCCTGTGTGATTTCAATAAATATTTCATTCACTATGTTAGGTGTATTCAATGCCTCTATCATATTTAATAGTGTGCGCTTTCATTGAATATTTCATTAGGAATATTGGATGCTTTCATTGTACTTTTCATAATTAATGCTGTGCAATTTCAATAAATATCTCATTCCCTAGGTCAGGTGTATTCATTGCCTCTTTCATATTTAATTGTGTGCGCTTTCATTGAATATTTCATTAGGAATATTGGATGCTTTCATTGTACTTTTTATAATTAATGTTGTGCAATTTCAATAAATATCTCATTCCCTAGGTCAGGTGTATTCATTGCCTCTTTCATAATTAATGCTGTGCGCTTTCATTGAATATTTCATTATCAATTCTGGGTGCTTTCATTGTGCATTTCAATAAATATTTCATTAGCTAGGTTATATGTATTCATTGCTTCTTTCATAATTAATGATGTGCACTTTCATTGAATATTCCACAGCTTTCATTGGGATTTTTCATTGAGTATCTCAATATTTCATTCCAATTTCATATCTGCCCCCAGGGATATCATTATGATTTTTCATTATATTCCATGATAGCAATGAAATAGCTATTACGGTCCATCCAATGGGTCATTGGGAGGGTGGTCACATGACAAATTTCCAAAAATGGTAAAAAAACAAAAGTTGTAGCTCTTTACCATAGCTTCCAGAATCAGTTGGAATTATGTCCTAAAGTGCTTTCATTGTGGAGATATAAGGTAAAAGGTTTTCAAAAGCGCCGCATTTTTTTTTTTGTTTTTTGCATTTTTCTTCATGAAAAGAACACTAAACAACATGATTTCAACAGATTTAGAAAGCTAAGAGAAGGGGCTACAACTATTGTATCGTGGGAAATTTCTCCCAAAAAGGAAGGTACATGCCCTAAAAGGGTAATTGACACTGACAGACTACAAAAGTAATTTATAGCCTACAAAGTTTACTAATAGACTACAAAAAAGACTACAAAAGTTGGACATAGACCACAAAGGTCAGACAAAGACTACAAAAATTAGTAGTGTCTGCTTTTCTCATTACAAAAGTAATAGTGTCCGCTTTTTGAGACTACAAAAATTAGTAGTGTCTGTTTTTTCAGACTACAATGGTTTGTAGTGTCCGCTTTTTGAGACTACAATGGTTTGTAGTGTCCGCTTTTTTCATTATAAAAGTTAATAGTGTCCACTTTTTGAGACTACAATGGTTTGTAGTGTCCGCTTTTTGAGACTACAAAAGTTAGTAGTGTCTGCTTTTTCAGACTACAATGGTATGGAAAGCAAGACTGATCTGCTCTGAAATTTCGGTCGCCGATTGATGGCCGCATATTGCTAAGTAGAATAATTGATTCGTGATATCTGCACTACAATTACATAATGTACATCTATGTTTTTCGAACTGCATGCTCCCTCTCTTTGCGATCTATTCAATGCTCTCACCATGTAACATCGTGTTCTTCCCAATCCCAACCCCAGGTCTATGCTGCCATAGGGACTTTGCTAGCTTTGGCTCCATGTATGCACATTTGCTTTCGGTCTTTTGTTACTACTTGCGTTTTACATCACACTAGTAGAGCAAATTTTTCAAGCTCATCGTGGGGTATCAGCGTGCTATAGCTCTTCCTCTTGGCTTTTCCAGAGTGTTCTATTTCTTTCGAGGGCATTCAAGGGGTCTCAAGACGGATCATCACCATGATCAGGGTCCCAATATATAAAATTTCAATAAATCATATACTGGCTTGAGCGTCCCACCGACTACTTGCGCGTTCAGCCCGACATCTGGCTTTTCTTTGATTACTTCTCTCTATGTCAGCCTCTCCAGACGCTCCGGATGAAGATTCAGAGTATGAGGCTGAATTCACGTCGGAGCAAGCTAACGAGGTCACCTGCAATCGCTGCTCGAGGGTGTTTCCTTTGGGTACGAAGTTGAGATTAGTGCACAGCAAGAAGAACGGACAATCCGACCGGTTTTTCTGTCCCGAGTGTTTTGAGTATTATCGAAGCAAAGGAACTACCGTCCGTCGGACTCAGGGCAGTAGCAATCGAGGTACGCACAATTCTTGGTCTGTTTCTTATATCTCAACGTTTACTTCTTAAAAACATAAAGCTCCTTCTGCGCTTTTCGAACCTGGCGCACATCCATTCAACGGAAAATTTGAATGTCACTCAGCGGTCCGTCAACAAGTTGCGGCAGCGCAGCGTATTGGTACGTCGAATTTCCTTTCATCTGTGGCGTACTTTTTGACATCCGATATTTAACTATAGAGGGCGCTTATCCGATGGTTGCAGTGGGGGAGATCTCTCAGCACATGGGGCAGGTCAACCTCAACGTGAATCACGGTGCATCCTCGCGGAAATCGATTATCCAACACAACAAGAAGACTCCTAAACCCTCTGGGGTTCAACTCAACTTACTTCCAATCAACTCGTCCTCGACTCTTCCGTTCCCGGCATTGAAGTCTAAACCCCTCATAAATCCCGGATATCAAGAAGCCCATCAATTTTACAACGAAATGCGTGCCCATTTTGCCAACAAAGCATATAGTGGTGTTGCAAATGCGGAACTCATTGTTGTAAAGGTTTGGATGATGATGCGGGTTCCAAACCGCAAATCTCCTGCCCCCGTTTCTGTAAGTTTGATTTTCATACGATAAATTCTAAGTTTATCTTTATCTACTCAGGATATCTTCGAAGCCCTTTCGGACATTCCGGTCCATATTGGTGCTAGTGATCTCAAGTGGGTGCTATACCACGCACTCCTCCCTCACTATGTCAAGTGGTCGAAAGGCTTCCCTCTCCATCCAGATGAGTGTCAAATTCGAAACAAACACTGGGTTGAGCTTGTTCCCAAACAGCCAGACGTTGATGCGGTGGCAGATCATTTTTTTACTTCCAAGGGGAAGAACAAGGCAAAGGTCTTTGCGCCGAAACAAGGCATTGAGCTTTATCTTGCCATCACCCATGAGAAGTACGATGCCATCTTGCAACATCTTTCTGACATTGAAGAGGTAATCAACCATTTTGCTTCTGACTCAATCAGTAAGAATTCAATCTTGTGTTTTCTAGGGCTATCAATGCAACGAGAATGGGTCAACAAGTCTCAGTCAGGTCATTTTACCAGCAAAGAAGAGCACTGGCAAGCGGAAAGCTCGAGATTTTGATACCGAGGTAAGAGTTTGTTTTTCAGGTAACTTCTTCATCAACTGACGCATATCTAAGAACATTGCGATAGCAAACGGCGCTGAACAGGCATCTCCACATCCGTCGCTCGATCAAGTCAAACATGCTCTTCTACTCCAGCAGCCTCCAAGGAAAAAGAACATGCGATCACTCTGTAAGTTTTTACGCTATGAATACGTATGAGCTTGCTATGAAAAGCGCTAACTCGAAACTGTTTTTTTTTAGTTGAAATTATTACGATTACTGCGCAATTTCTTCGACCACCGTCACGCCCATCTTTCGCGGAGTTGGTGCAGAATCCAGAGTTTCTCCTTCATCCGGAGAAATTCCCACCTCGTCAAATGAAATTTTCGTATCCGCCATCATCGAAACCACTCCAGGGCGCGTTCAAAATCGCTCATTTTGGCCATACTGACATTCCGCTGTTTGGCAACTCCACACGAGTTTGCATCAAGCAGACGTTCTCTACTTCAGAGAATTCCAAGAAACCTGTCATTTACCAAAGTCAGGTCCAGGCGGCGAACCTAAGTGTCGAGCTGAATTGCCTGGGGTGGGCTTCCGCTCTGATGGATCTCGTTTATAAGTTCATGGAGAAAGAGGTGACTGTTCGTGGATTGCCGGCATTTGAGGTTCCACAAATGCGATATGTCCAGGCTGGTCTCGCCATCTCCAACGATGCAGAAGGCAGGCAGAATGCCTATCTTCTCGAAGAATTCATTGATTCCGAAGCCCCCGGCTGGTTCGTCAAGTATCTAAATAATAACTCAGCAAAACCCTACAGATTCAAGGACGAGGAGCGTTCTATTCGTGCCGAGTTTCTTTCTTTTGCACAGCATGTCCAGTTCATAGAAACAGGTGGCCAGGCATTTGTTTCCGACCTTCAAGGCAAGTTTCTTGATTTTAATTTGGTGTTGACTTACTTTTCATTATTTTAGGTGGACGTGCTCTGCTCACAGATCCCCAGATCATCACAAACCCATGAGCTTTCAGTTCTTCCTATTTTCTTTCCTACTTCTGATTCCCGTTGAGTAGGACTTTGATTGGATTTCTTTTCGGTGAAGGCAACACCAATTTTGAAACCTTCACGGCTCAGCACAGATGCAATCGCTTTTGCAGTTTTTATCAACTCCCTCCGCCAGTCGATGCCACTCAAAGTGCAGCCAAAACCGAGACATACAACGAGTCCCTGAACATGATTCCTTCCCCAGGCTCAGATTCTTCGTTTCCGCGGAACCCTCTCCCAGTCATGGTGTCTGTTAGCAACTCGGGAACTGCACCAATGGACATTTCCGAAGCTGGGAATGTGCATTGAACACAGTCGGGCACTGGAGTCTGGCAGCGCCATTTTTATTAGTATTCATTCTATTTTACATACATGCCAACGTCAAACATGTCGGTAGTTGTACTCCCGACTTATATGCGATAATGTGAGCAACGTAATCTGTGACCACCAAGCCATGCATATCTCCCTCACTTGTTGGTGCTCGTTGCTCAGGTAGTATGAAAGAAACTTGCAAAGAGTGCCAATGTCACGCCTTGCAGGTCTGTAATGAAATAGGATGCTCGCTGGTTTACCCAACCGAAAGCTTACTAGCTACTTATTACAATTATGTATTACCTTCAGACTCTTCATCTGAATCATCGGTGAAGGACGCATAGTCAGACCCGTCACCATCATGATTATAAGCTCCAACAACTTGATCACCCTGCCAAAGTTCCCTCAGACCTTCCATGAGTGGAATTGAATCCTCCTCAACCTCTTGTGTGTGGGCGCGTTGCGAAGAAATGAGAGAGGCCATTGCCTCATCATGGTCAGTCTCCAAATCTTGACGGAAACAATGGAGTAGTTGGCGGTACGTGTCCCAGAATGTACGAAAAGTGATCATGGGAGACCCAATGCTAGAATAGAAAGCACTTGCACGCTGATTGAATAAGGGTGGCGTCAGCTGAAAGACCGGGTGGTCAGGAGGAGCAAACTCTGCTTCAAGACGGTCAATGAGCTCTGTTGGTACAGGAATCTAGTTGAAGGCTGAGTAAAGAAAGCAAACAAAAGAAAGAAATGCTTCTCAGCAGACAATTACCTTAAAATCGAGAGCTCCAAACTGCTCTGGCTTCTCACGCATCAGTTCCGGAATCCCATGAGGCAAGACCTTCTTGGTGTTGGCGCGTGGAGGAGTTCGATTTCGAACAATGACCCATTTGTCAAGTTCACTCTGGAGCCACGGAATAGCGAGCCAACGGAACACCAAACTGGATAATGAAGATGAAATGGCTGAATAATTATACAAATTTTGCACTCACTTTTCAAGTATGTCGTCAACATTATAGTATCCGGCATTGACACCAGATTCAAATAAATCCTCATAACCAGGTGCAAAATCACGCCGGAACACAGACCAATTGGCCTCTGATTTGACATTCATCTTGTTTCGCTTCCACCGGTGCTGAAGAGTTCCCACAAGAGAGGGATCGAGCTCATGGCGTGCACGGGTCTGTATATTTGCAATGCCATAATTCTCCGACCCAGGATCACTCTGAGTTGTAAGCGGTATTGCTATATAAGACCAGATAAGCGGGTTGGAAGACAGAAGAAAAGAGAAACTTACCACCATATTTTCGAACATGATCCAAAAAGAACTTCGCAATCAAACGGGGATTCTTGTTCGTCCACCATACCTTGAGCCAATTGTTAATGCCAATAAATGGGTCAATACCATTGTGTAGCCAGAGGCCGAAACGTGGCCCCCATTTGTCGTGTTGGTCCATGGCCCAAATATCGTTCACGCCGGCAGCATAGAACCGGCGTCTCTTGAAACGACGACGACGACGAGCCTTAACGGCATCAGGCTCAGTCTGGTTTAAGTAACACATAATGAGAGGTCTTATAGATAGTTGAATATATTATGCTCAGAAGAAGAATCAGAAGCTCACCGTGGCACTCGCATGTTCAGTTCTACACGTAGCTGTTTCCGAATCATCTCTGCTCCTCGACTGGGATACTGTTGGCGTATATTCTGGATGGCCTCAGCGATGGATTCCAGAGTATGGGCCTGCTGCCTTGTGCTTTTAAGTCCCCATTTCCGACGCAGCCTCTTGATACTCGAAACACTGTCCAATATAGAAGTAAGCTACAAAATAAAAGGCTTCGGAAACGCACCTAAGGCCGTATTTCTCGGTATCATAGTGATCCTTCATTTGCGTTGCAATTCCGGGATCATCTAGGTTGAGATGATAATAAAACTCAATGGATTCCCTTATCTCGGGCTCCGGGGCTATGTTGAGGAAATGTGAGAAAAAATGCGGTCAATGATAAAACACAAAACTCACGTAGTGGTTTATGCTGATTAGGCATGGTGAATCCGAGCTAAAAGGTTCTTGCTGAGTACTGGGTGATGCTTGCATGTTCTTTTATTTCGGGAGTTGGCAGCGGCCTGGAATGTTCTGGCAATTTCACGACTTGTTCGCGATACAACGGCAGGTAGTCTTGATATCTGACTCCAAGAGCATGGAGGTTCGATAAAATCTGGGGAAATGTTGTTTTCATTGTAGAGTTATGACGAACCATGAGTATAAGGTTGACGGTTCACATTCTGGTACTTATTTTCATCGTTGCCTACCGGAATTACAATGGAATTACACAGATCATTGATATTCTTCAAATGGATAGCATATCCAGGAATTGTATATGTTCAAACGATGCCAATACATGGTGGATGTTGGACAGCAAGACTTAGGCGATGGTGAGGCGGGGATGATGCGGCAAAATTCTTTAATGCAGATTGCACAATTATCGTACATATATTACAAATCAACGAAATGACTTAACAATATGCGGCCATCAATCGGCGACCGAAATTTCAGAGCAGATCAGTCTTGCTTTCCATACCATTGTAGTCTGAAAAAGCAGACACTACTAACTTTTGTAGTCTCAAAAAGCGGACACTACAAACCATTGTAGTCTCAAAAAGTGGACACTATTAACTTTTATAATGAAAAAAGCGGACACTACAAACCATTGTAGTCTCAAAAAGCGGACACTACAAACCATTGTAGTCTGAAAAAACAGACACTACTAATTTTTGTAGTCTCAAAAAGCGGACACTATTACTTTTGTAATGAGAAAAGCAGACACTACTAATTTTTGTAGTCTTTGTCTGACCTTTGTGGTCTATGTCCAACTTTTGTAGTCTTTTTTGTAGTCTATTAGTAAACTTTGTAGGCTATAAATTACTTTTGTAGTCTGTCAGTGTCAATTACCCTTTTAGGGCATGTACCTTCCTTTTTGGGAGAAATTTCCCACGATACAATAGTTGTAGCCCCTTCTCTTAGCTTTCTAAATCTGTTGAAATCATGTTGTTTAGTGTTCTTTTCATGAAGAAAAATGCAAAAAACAAAAAAAAAAATGCGGCGCTTTTGAAAACCTTTTACCTTATATCTCCACAATGAAAGCACTTTAGGACATAATTCCAACTGATTCTGGAAGCTATGGTAAAGAGCTACAACTTTTGTTTTTTTACCATTTTTGGAAATTTGTCATGTGACCACCCTCCCAATGACCCATTGGATGGACCGTAATAGCTATTTCATTGCTATCATGGAATATAATGAAAAATCATAATGATATCCCTGGGGGCAGATATGAAATTGGAATGAAATATTGAGATACTCAATGAAAAATCCCAATGAAAGCTGTGGAATATTCAATGAAAGTGCACATCATTAATTATGAAAGAGGCAATGAATACATATAACCTAGGTAATGAAATATTTATTGAAATGCACAATGAAAGCACCCAATATTGCTAATGAAATATTCAATGAAAGCGCACACCATTAATTATGAAAGAGGCAATGAATACACCTGACCTAGGGAATGAGATATTTATTGAAATTGCACAACATTAATTATGAAAAGTACAATGAAAGCATCCAATATTCCTAATGAAATATTCAATGAAAGCGCACACCATTAAATATGAAAGAGGCAATGAATACACCTGACCTAGGGAATGAGATATTTATTGAAATTGCACAACATTAATTATGAAAAGTACAATGAAAGCATCCAATATTCCTAATGAAATATTCAATGAAAGCGCACACCATTAAATATGAAAGAGGCAATGAATACACCTGACCTAGGGAATGAGATATTTATTGAAATTGCACAACATTAATTATGAAAAGTACAATGAAAGCATCCAATATTCCTAATGAAATATTCAATGAAAGCGCACACCATTAGATATGATAGAGGCATTGAATACACCTAACATAGTGAATGAAATATTTATTGAAATCACACAGGATTAATTATGAAAAAAGCAATGAAAGCGCCCAAAATTCCTAATGAAATATTCAATGAAAGTGCACACCATTAATTATGAAAAAGGCAATGAATACACCTAACCCAGTGAATGAAATACCTATTGAAAGCGCACAGGTTTAATTATGAAAAGCACTCTGTGGCCTTGCCTATATCTTATGAAAAGAACATAGGTTTTATGAGAAAGAAAATACAGGACACATCTATGAAATGCCTTTCATAAAACTTGTGGACTTATACACACAGCTCTACAGGCAATTGCCTTAGTTTTATCATAAAAGTGGTAGCCACCAGTCCAATGCCAGATGTTTTATAATAAGGGGTCCCACCGTGATATAGTCAGGAGAAAGTTAGTATGTTTCTGCCTGATTGGAAGGTGCCAACCCATCTTGTGACTGTTTCCATTTTATTTACATGACCACAAGGTCCAAGCTCTACAGCATTTTATGTAACTGTTAACGTACGAATATCTCAGTCAGACACAAGTGTGGTGACGACTCTGTATTTTAGCTACCTGTTAACGTACGAATATCTAAGCACAGGTAGCGTCAGTCTTGGGTAAGTAAATGTAAGTAAAAGCGAACTCACCTCAGTCAGACACAAGTGTGGTGACGACTGAGGTGGGAGAAAATAAGGTTCGAGGTTTATATAGGAAAAATGGGTGGCTTGTGTAAAGACTGGTATATAACAGGGGTAAATGTATAGGATAGAAATAGAGGCGAAAAGATCGAGAGTGAGCAAACAAAAACGTACACGTAAACAAATGAGGTCACGAGGTGTCTCCCTCAACACTCCCCTAGATGCCAAGGGACCTCTAGATGTCCAGTTTGAGCGCTCGGACGAGCTTTTGGTGGGTGACACGCGGGAGTGGTTTGGTAAAGATATCGGCGAGGTTTTCCTCGGAGGGGATTTGGACAAGTTCGATTTCTCCGAGGGCTACACGCTCCCTGATGTAGTGGTGGCGTATGTCGATATGTTTTGCGCGTGTGTGCCCCTTGGTGTTAAGGGAGAGGGTGATCGATGCAGCATTATCGCCATGAAGGACTGCGGGGAAGGTACGCTTGAGGCCTATCTCCGACATGAATGAGTACATCCATAGCGCTTGTTGTGCAGCACGCGTGAGGGCCATATACTCCGCCTCTGTAGTGGAGAGCGCGACGGTAGCTTGGCGCTTCGAGCTCCAGGATACAGGTCCACCTGCCAGTGTGAACACATATCCTGAAGTTGATCTGCGTGTATCGATGTCTCCGGCGTAGTCGGCATCGACAAAACCGATTGGGTCGAGGCTCACGCCGCGGTGGTATGTGAGCTTATACGTGAGCGTACCTTTGAGGTATCCGAGGAGGTGAAGCATGGCCTTCCAGTGTGCTGGTCCAGGTTTTGCCTGGAAGCGTGCGAGGACGCTAAGGGCGTAAGCGATGTCGGGGCGAGTTGCTACTTGTGCCCACATGCAGGCGCCGAGGGCTTCGCGGTATGGCTTGTCCTTCATGTAATGCAAGTCCTCGTCTGTTGTGGGTGAATCGGATTCGGATAGGATGATGCCGGAGGGTAGTGGTGTGGTTTGGGGGTTGCAGTTCGTCATTCCGAAGCGCTCTAGGACACGTCGTATGTAAGCTTCCTGAGATAAAGATATCGCACCCGTGGTATCGTTTCTCTCGACTCAAATCCCCAAAATATATCCGAGATCCCCCACATCCTTTATCTCAAAGCAGGCTTCAACTTCCTTTTTCGCTTTCTCCGCACCTTCCTTCGTCGTGGACGCGCCGAAAATGTTGTCGGTGTAGGTGCTGGTGATGGTGTGCTCATTGTGGATGTGACGGGAGTGGACACAGGGATCTGCAAGCGATTTGTAGTATCCCAATGATTCATACGCACCCGTCATTTCGCTCTGAAAATCATATCCGCCTTGCATCATCCCATACAAGGTTTTGACGACCCGTAGAACCTTGTTCTCCTCCCCTCGGGCGACAAAACCTGGCGGCTGGCGCATGTACGTGGTGAATTTGTTCGTGCTGTAGAGATACGCGGCTACGATGTCGACTTGCCAAAGGTGTAGGTTCAAAGCGGCGGCAGTGGCAGCGACCATGCGGAAGGACTCCAGACGTACGACGGATGCATAAGTCTGATCGTAGTCAAGTCCAGGGATTTGTGTGAATCCCTTTGCAACAAGTCGTGCTTTGCGCTTGATGATGTTTCCGTCGGCGTCGTACTTGTTAGCGTAGACCCACATGGAATCGATGATACGCGCCTCAGGAGGCAAGTCCACCAACTCAAAAACACCCCTGTCCCATAAAACGCCCCACTCCCTTTCCATGGCCTCCTTCCAAAGGTCTGGGCGAGTCATTGCCTCCCAATAGCTGCGCGGTACCTGGGAGTCAGGGAGTGCAGTGAGAAGTACTGTCGTTTCTGGGGTGGGCGCTCCAGTCCCCAGGACAGCGAGGCGAGCAGAGCGTCTGGGCGGTACATGATGTTGATTATCAGGCTGAATGACAGGTGGCGTGGGTGCGACGTCGGGAGAAGCTGGTGGTCCAGCATCTGGGTGTAAAGGGGGATCTGTGGCGCGTGGGCGTGGTGCTAAGGGTTTTGGAGGGACAATGACGTTCTTGGCTGTAGGGTTGGCATCCTGAGGAGCTGTAGGCGTCTCGTCGTCATCGTCGTCGTCGACGATCTCGAGGGGGGGCATGTCATCGTAGGAGACAGTGCGGTGACCGTGGCCTTCCTCAAAAATGACATCACGACTCTTAATGGTCGTTCCTGATGCCCGATCCCACAGCTTATACGTTCCGCGCCCATAATATCCGATCAGGACATATTTGATTGATCGGGGAGAGAGCTTCAATACGCCTAACTCCACTGGGATCTTGGCGTATGCGACGCATCCGAAAGGGCGCAGATGCGAGATGTCCTGACGTTTCGTTGTCCATTTCTCAGCAGGTATGTAGCCTGGATGTCGAGCGGATGGGATGAGGTTGTCAGTGTAGATGGTGAAGGAGGCGGCATCTGCCCAGAGCGATGGAGGTAAACCG